CCCCCTCCTCAAATAAAATTCTCATTTTGATTAAAATTTATTTGCTTCTTTTTTCTTATTTCTGCTCCATTAACTTTACACCCATTACCCGCTTTTAATTTCATCAATAGCTTAAAAGAAATCCAAAAAAATTCAAAAAAAGATTTCAATTATTTTTATCCTTTAATTCTTTATCATTCTTAGTCAACACTTGAGTCCAATTTTCATCTGGAAATACTCGAATACTATGTTTAAAAAATCTATTGTTTTTATTATTGAAATTTATTTTATCTTGTATCACTGCATAGTTTTTTCTAATAAAGGCATTGTTTCTGGTATTTTTAAGTCAACAATTTTAAGACGATTTTTTATTTAACATTTTTTTAATGATAAGCGGTCGTCTTTCTTCCAAATCAGCTTGATCTGCAACCATCACAAGCTTAGCAAGAGATGTTGAAGAAATTAATATTTAAATGTTCTTCTAGTTTTTTTTTATAAAAAAAGTCTCTTAGAAATGTTAAAAGTCTCCTTATCAAAAATGGGAAGGGGGGTTCTTAAAAAGTATACGCCTGCCTGGTTTTGTGAACTTTTTATAATTTATAATATTTAATAAGAACAATTATGTTTTCATGAATTTTAAATCTAACTGAATGAAAGTTATTTTCGTCATGTTTGTTTTTTATCATCTTTGGTTGTGTAACTTCAAAGATCTGAATTGATTGTAAGAGCTTATTGAAAAATTTATTAATTTATCCCTGTGTAAAATTGCATTTCAGACTGGATATCTTTAACATGCATCGAAAGGGGAGGGGGGTTGCTGGATGCTAAACATATTCACTATTTTTATTCTGTGATTAATTTTTCATCAAATTATTTATTTACACTTTATCTACAGGGTGGTAAAATAATATTCAGATTACAAAAGCATCAACTTGAATCTAGAATCCCACCCTGTAGATAAATTAACCACTAGTTGTAAAATGTATATACATGTTGTGACACGCTGCCTAATTGATTAATTGATTTATTCAGATAAAATGGATGAACTACGACGTTTAGAACATCTATCTCTTGTCTCTAAAGTAAGTATTCTTGTGTCTTGAAGGTGTTTTGATTTTGCATTGACTCTTCTTGATGAATGTTCTAGTATATCATGATATAAGATGTCTAAATTTAGCTTATTGATAACTCATCTTCTGATAGTTAAAAATTAATCCTGTTTTATATTATTAGTTAAAGCGGGGGGGGGGGGGGGGGGGGGGGAGTATATGAAAGTGGAATATTTTATGTTGTGAAATTATGAATTGTTTCAAACCAGTGATAAACAAATATACAAAAATATTTCCGCTCTATTTATGTATATTGAATAATATTACATGGTTCAATGAGGGTTACTTTCATTTTCTTCAATTCGTCTATTCATTCAACTATTCATCTATTCATCTATTCACACATTCATCTATTCTATTCAGTGATAAACAAATATTCATAATTGTTTCCGCTCTATTCATGTATAATATTACATGTTTCAATGAGGTTACTCATCTATTTATCTATTCATCTATTCTTCTATTCATCCTTTCATCTATTCATCTATTCATCTATTCATTTAATTAAGGTATGTACGGAGTTGGACAATCACTACTCCATGAATGATAAGGAAAACATTATAAAACTAAATATTTTTTCTCATTTCTTATTTTATGTAAGCTCAATTTTTTAAAAATAATATTTGGCATTCAAAATGAGAAAAAATGCTTTACATTACTTCAATTACACGTTAATTACACAATTTTATAATGACATTTAAAAATGTTCAGTTTTGTTTCTCATATCAATTGATTTGATTTGATTTTGATAAATTATATGTTGACCCATAGGATCTAGCTGAGTTTATCATAGACCTGGCGCAGAAGAATCCAAATTTCGATGGGTTCAAGAAATCGTTATTGGAGAACGGCGCCGAGTTCGCGGATTCGTTCATTGAGAATCTGCTCAGGATCATCAATCACATGATGCCGAAGAAAGGAAAGGAAAATGAATCTAGAAATGGCGGGGGAAATTTTGACTATTTGAGAGAACAGTTGCCGTTTCTGGCACTTCCGGACGACGCGAAGAAACCGGAAGTGGTGAAAGAAAGTCGGGGACCTGATGTCGATGACGTCATGTCCTTTTTGGAATCTATGGCTCCGTCAAAGGTCAAGGAAAATGTTAAAGAAAGACCGCGAAGATCATTAACTCCGTCAAGATCGAGATCAAGATCAGATTCTAGAGAAAAGAAACGAAAGAAGAAGAAAAGAAAGAAGAGTAGAAGTGGTAGCAGGGACAGGTATAGGAACAGAAGCAGAAGTAGGGAAAGAAGGAGAAGTCGAAGCAGAGACCGGAAGCGTCGGCGGAGTCGAAGCTCCAGCAGAGACCGGAAAAAGCTTGAGGAGCAGCGGAAGCTGTTGGCAAAGAAGGAGATGGCCGAAGGACCAGAACTGTTCCGAGTTTATACCGGGAAGGTTCAGAATATCACTAATTTTGGATGCTTCGTGGCGCTAGAAGGATTCAGGTAAACACAACTTCTTAATTTGAAATTTAATGCTTATTTTTTTAAAACGAAAGCAGGGGTGTATATAAGTTGTGAGAATCACATTTGTGCCTAAAAAGGTAAACTTCAAGGCCCCCCTTGAGTTTTTTAAAGCATTTCTGATACTGTTTTTAAATTTTTTTTTTCTTCTTTTTTTCTTTTCCTTCCTTTTTCCCCCGTTTGCCTACCCTTCCCTCTTTCCCTACCCTCTTTCCCCTTTTCCCTTCCCATTTGTCCCATACCCTTCCCTATTGCCACTTTTCCTTTCCTTCTTCACCTTTTTCCTTTCCCTCTTCCCATTTTTCTCTTCCCTCTTCCCATTTTTCCGTTCTCTCTTCCTATTTTTCCCTTCCCTCTTCCCATTTGTGCCTTCCCTCTTCCCCTTTTCCCTTCCCTTTTTCCCCCTTTTCTCTTCCCTTTTTCCCCCTTTTCTCTTCCCTTTTTTTCCCCTTCCTTTCCCCTTTTTTTTTCTTTTTTCTTAATTTTTTCCCCTAAACCCAATGATAGGTCATATTTTCAGAAAAATATATACCCCTGAACTTAAGTAAAATATTTATAATTGCTTTGGGATGAAATTCTAAGAATATATTTATTTTTCCATTTTTCGAGATTATTTATAAAGTTTTATTCTGAAATATATTCTAGAAAGAAAGCTGAGGGGCTTGTACATATTTCTCAGCTGAGAAGAGAAGGAAGAGTTAAATCAGTCGAGGAGGTTGTTCTGAAGGGACAAACTGTCAAGGTACAAAATATAACTTTATTTCTAATTTTGAAGAGATTCTTGGTCTAAACATTTTATAATTTGAAAAAAAAACTAACTCTGTTAATTTTAGTTCTTTCTCTGCAAAATTTTTTTTTGAAGAACTGCTTGGTCCAAATTTTATATCTTGAACAAAGGCAAATTCTGTCAATTTCCGTTCTTAACTCTGCAACAGATAAAATTTGAAAGCAAATTTTAGAAATGAAAACAAGAATGTATCCATCAATTACTCCAAGAACCAACGCTGAATATTGAACTCTGACCTGAGCTGTGTCTAGGTGAAGGTGTTGAGTATCACCTCGGGTAGCAAGATCTCCTTGTCCATGAAGGATGTAGATCAGGAGACTGGAGAGGATCTCAACCCTACAGGGAACAACAGGGTCCCAGGAGGAACTAGGGAGGCTGACCTCAACCTTAGGAACCCTGAGAGACCCTTGGATTTCCTAGGAGAGAATCACGAGGCTGTTGTTCTCGACGACGATGATTACAGGTATCTTGAGTTTATATAGACATATGCAATAGGCATTACGGCCCACATTGCTTGTCTTGAGAAATATCTCCCCCAGACCCCACCCACCCGAAGCGGTATAAAAATTTTAAATTTTTTATCGCCTTAGTAGGTCTTTTAGGAAGGGAAATAAATGATTTTTGTTGAGAAATGAAATGAACTAAAACTTCATGTTGCAAGCAATTTTCCTTTCTTTTTTTCCCCCAAAGCTTCAAAACATAGAAATTATTTTTTAACCATTATGAACTAGTCTTACACGTATATTTAATAATATATATCACTTTATATGATTATGTTGAGATTCCATGCTTTTTTAAGATCTGTATACAAAATAATGTAAATGTAAATGTGTTGTGTAAAAAAATGTTCCCTAGCGATGTCAAAAAGCAAGAGCTTTAGGTTTTATTTGTCTCTAAATCTAAAATTTTTGGAAAAAATATGTTTACCTGGTTGGCAACATTATCAAAAATGTATAAAACGATGTTTTTTTTTGACTTTTAGTAATAAAACGAATATAATATTTGAGGAAAACACCGTATTTATGGGAAAACCAAAAAAATCAATTTTTTAGGGTTTATCTTCTATGCGCCTTTTATAGTTATAAAAAACATATTTGAGAAATGATATTTCAGACATAAGAAGAAGGTGACCCGAATCTCTTCCCCTGAGAGGTGGGAGCTCCAGCAGATGATGGCCGCCAATGTTATTGATAAGAGTGAACTCCCGGATTTCGACGAGGAAACAGGATTACTACACAAGGTCAGTGCATTGACAGGATTAGTCCAGTTTGGGCAAAAGCGTCAACCCCACCCCTGGTGCAGGTGGGTAATTCTTTTAATAATATACTACTGAGAAAAGATCTAAGAAATCAAATGATTTAAATCAAATTAAAACTGTAATTTTACATTCCAACCTTAAGGATTAGAATCTACTGAAGTTTCTTTTTGAACATTGTGCTCAATTTTACCTTTAGGAACCAGGTAATAACTACAAACATAAGAGCGAGCATGAACTCTTTCTCTTCGGCTCACCTCTATTTGCACTGATTAAATCTTATGTATATATTTCAGGTAGGCAGTTTATACAGGACTCAACCGTGAACTGAAAACACAATAAATCAGTCTAGGGTTAATTAATTTTACAATAAAACAGAATTCTAGCCTTTAAAAATAAAACTTTCTCCAGGTAAAACATTCAATTTTATATAACAAATACTTAATTTTAAATAAATAGAAAAATTCACTTACAATGTTGATTTGTCCGGAGGTTTGTAGCCTTTAGTGTTTAGAATGCACCACAGTCTCGGGTACAAGAACTAAATATGAGCTTTATAGAGTTGAGTTGAGATCTTTATGTGTATCTTCAAATATCCTTCTCAAGTTTTAACTTTCTCACAGAGAGAATATAAAATAGGCTTCAGAAAGGTTTACATCAAAATCTTAGATTGGTAGTTTGAATGGTAAGATAGATAATGGTAGATTCAATGTATTTGTAGAGATTTGCAGGATTAGTTGCTTGAAGATAGGGGTTCTCTGTAGGACAAGCTGGAGAACTTCTCGACTTTGAACACCCTGAACACACATTAGTTTATAAAGATCCACAGATCTTACAAACATTTAGAAAAGTTGAAAATAAAAAAATTTTGAAAAATATATTTATTATTTAACAGGAAGATGATGACGAGCAAGATCTAGAAATTGAATTGGTTGAAGACGAGGCTCCCTTTCTCAAGGTATTATCATTATTATTATTATTATTTTTATCATTAAACCTACAGTCAATGTATCATGTCCTTTGCTACGTTGAGCTCCAGTTTTGATTTCCACGTCACTTGCCAAGTGTAAAGGGTGTTAAATGTTAATAAGATGGTAAAAATCAAATTTAACCTACAAAATCAGATATAAGATGCCCATAATTAACCTACACAATCAGATATAAGATGGCCAAAGTTAACCTCACAATCGGATATAAGATGGCCTAAATTAACCTACACAGTCAGATATAAGATGGCCAAATTTAACCTACACAATCAGATATAAGATGACCAAAATTAACCTACACAATCAGATATAAGATGACCAAAATTAACCTACACAATCAGATATAAGATGGCCAAAATTAACCTACACAATCAGATATAAGATGGCCAAAAACCCAATAAATGTTTAGAACAGGATCCTATAAGACTAATTGATGGAAAAATTAATGACAAAAACACCTCTATCCACCTTGAAAAGAAAGATCAAGGGTTGTATATAAAATAATTATGAAGCCAGGGATGGATATATTTATATAAACCCATTATAAAACAAATTCTTAACAATTCATTTATCATAACAAATAAAAAAAATGAAAATCGTATGAAAGTTTTCTGTTTTGACGAATTAAAGGTCTCGCCACCAAAAAATGTCGTTTCCCGAATCTTCTTAAATAGTCCAGTGCTTAGGATCCATTTAATTTGGATGCGGATTTGCAAAAATGTATCTGAATCCAGGCCACTAACATTTCTTTAAGATTTTCTGATTTTCAGAACAGAATAAAAATTTTTAAATATTTTTTCTTCTACTTTTTTTCGGTTTAGCGCAAACTAGATGAACTATGAGGAAATTTTTGAAAATCTCTTTGTTCAGCAGCTCAGATTTAACTTTTGAGAGCAAAAGATTGTGTTTGCAAATTTTGCCACTTGGATCCGGATCCAGATCCACGAAGTCAAAATGTTGCGGAGCCAACTGATCCGGATCCTAAGCACTGTAATAACTACGACAAATAATCATGATATATACAGGGACAAGGACGGATGATGAATAATCATGATATATACAGGGACAAGGACGGATGATGAATAATCATGATATATTCAGGGACAAGGACGGATGATGAATAATCATTATATATACAGGGACAAGGACGGATGATGAATAATCATGATATATACAGGGACAAGGACGGATGATGAATAATCATTATATATACAGGGACAAGAACGGATGATGAATAATCATTTTATATTCAGGGACAAGGACGGATGATGAATAATCTATCTCCAGTTCGTATTGTCAAGAATCCTGATGGATCTTTAGCCCAGGCTGCCATGATGCAGGTAAACATCAAAGGTTAACTTTTTTTAAATACACTTTTAACCTTATTTTCGGAATTCAGAACACATTCTTTACCAATATTTAAAATACACATATAACCTTAGTTTCGGAATTATGAACACATTCTTTACCAATATAGAAAATACACATATAACCTTAGTTTCGGAATTAAAAACACATTCTACCAATATTAAAAATACACGTATAACCTTAGTTTCGGAATTAAAAACACATTCTACCAATATTAAAAATACACGTATAACCTTATTTTCGGAATTAAGAACAGATTCTTTACCAATATTGAAAATACACGTATAACCTTAGTTTCGGAATTAAGAATACATTCTTATTTCTTTACCAATATTGAAATTACAAGTATAACTTTATTTTCGGAATTATGAAAACCACCGACACTATCTCACAATTCAAAGATGTCCTTAAAGGCCAGAATGATTGATATTTTCTGTAACAATAAAATACTGTTCTTGCTAATTTTGTAGATTTTCCGACCACGTTACAACGTTACAAATATAAAATATTAAATCGGAGTGAAAACTTTAGCAGTGTTATTTCAAAACTCGTAATTTTTTCGACATTTGAAAAAAATTGATATTTTTTGGTTTCTGTTCTGGTTCAATTGTTATTTTGAAAGCAACTATTTATTAATTTCCCCTCTTATCAGAGCTAGTAAATCCATTTATCAGCAACGCAGTCGCAAATATTTAGTAATTACTTTTCCCGGATAAAAGTGTTGCATTTTTATATTTTTCTCCTTTTTCTGTAGAAATAAATCATGGATATCTTACTTGATTTTAATGTTACCGTTGTGAATCTTGTATGTCACTTTTTACATCTCTTTAGTCTGACGCTTAAAAAAGTTCAATTAATTTGTTTTTCTATTTTCATTCAGATATAAATCCGAATAAAATCATAAGTTTTTTATTAATATATATGAATGTAGGGAGCTCTGGCTAAGGAGCGAAGGGAGCAGAAGATGGTTGACCGGCAAGCTGCGGACAGTGAGGCTCCAACAGGCTCCACAAAGAATTGGAATGATCCCATGCCACACGGAGTTACTGAGTACCAGGTAGGCAAACTGAGTCCGAATTTAATGAATTTGAGCCGCGTCTCAAATCCGCTTAAAACCGGTTTCAATTTAGCGCCGGCTTAAATCTTAAAACATTGAATACAATTTCAAGTGAACCCAACCATATTTAAGCTGCGGCTGAAATTCTTTAAATTCGGTCTCTGGTTACTTACAGGGTGGCCAAAATGTACGGATTGTACGGATTGTTTTGTTTAACCCTAAAATTGTACGGATTGTACGGATTGTACGGATTTGTTTTTAAATTGTACGGATTGTACGGATTTTTATCCTGGAAAATACACCGTTTTTTTTAAATTTTCACTCATTTCAGCCAATTTTTCATGAAAATTAAAAAAAATTCTCGTCAAAATGAAGTTAGTTTAACTTATTTTCTGCATTCTAAATAATATTAGATTGATTAATGTTTCAATTGACAATCAAAATTCATTCATAATTTTCGAGATATGTTCAAGAAGTGTTTATTTGAGAATATGTTCCATAAGTACTTAGTATCCTGTATCATGTACCCTGTATCATGTATCCAGTATCCAGTATCATGCACCTAGTATCATGTACCCAGTATTTAGTTTGTTTATATGTATGAAGCCAATTTTTTACAGATTGATTCTTGCTGAAGAAGTTTAAACCCTCTTACATGAACTGAACACAAAGGACAATGAATGAAAAATTGAATTTTAATGGTTTTTTCAAAAATGGGATTTTTTTCGAAAATTGAACTGATTGTACAGATTTTTAAAAAAAATGTACGGATTTTTATAAAAATGTACGGATTGGTTTAAAAAAATGTACGGATTGTACGGATTTAAAAAAAAAATTGTACGGATTGTACGTATTTTTTTTCGAAAATTGTACGGATTGTACGGATTTCTTTTGAAAATGTACGGATTTTTGTACGGATTTGTTCAAAAAAGTTTTGGCCACCCTGTACTTACTTCGGGATAGTGTTGTTAATCGTTTTGGATAAAATAAAATTTATTGAAACTTTAAGATTTCAAACTGTATTATCTTTAAGTTTGTTTTCCTTAAATTCTGCATTATCTTGATCCTAAAAAACCAGGTCGTTTTGTGCATGAATCTTCTGTCAGGGTTAAAATTTTACGATATTTGCCTCTTGCCAAAGTTTGACATTTAAAGAAAAAAGAGACAAAAAACGACCCAACTTTAGGCCCATCACTACTTGAGGTAGGATTCCATGGGGAACATTAGAAGAATTTCTTTTTTGGAAAATAGAAAAATGCTCAGGTCTCATCATAAACCATCTCCATAGTGATTTGAAATTTTAGATTTAGGTTCATTAAGTAAACTTCTTAAAGTGTGTACACTGTACAGTGTATAGTAAACTTACAGTCCTGGCTTCCTTTATAAGCTTGAGGATTTGTTATTTTTTTCAATATGTTGATTGATAATAATAAAATTTGTTTCTACAGGGTCAGAACGCTGGTCAGGATGCCAAACCCAACCCCTTCCAGGATATGCCGGAGTGGAAGAAAAGTATTATTGGAGGATCGAAGGGATCCTACGGGAAGAAAACTAGTATGTCAATCCTGGATCAGAGGCAATCACTTCCTATATATAAACTTAAGGTTGGTTCTACATTTTCGTTGGTGTTTAAAACTTTTATTAAGTAATCTGTCAACACTGTACACTGAACAGTTTATCCGAAAAAGAGTAAAAAATAAAAGCCTATCTTTTCATAAATTATTATAGGACGAGTTAATCAAAGCGATAACTGAAAACCAGATTCTGATTGTTGTCGGGGAAACAGGAAGTGGGAAAACTACGCAAATGACGCAGTACATCGCTGAGGCGGGGTTCACAATGCGGGGAAAGATTGGGTGTACGCAACCCAGAAGAGTTGCCGCAATGTCAGTTGCTAAGAGAGTAGCTGAGGAGTTTGGTTGCAGGTATCAATCTTAATATAAATATAGACAAAGGAATCAAGTTCACTTTTTTAAAATCAAAAATTAGATGTTATCAACTTTATAGGATTGGGTATCTGATACCGTATAAATTTTAAATTCCGTACATTTTTAAGTAAGCGTCTGAGCATTCAGTTTTTGTGTTAAAAAGTTTGAATGTAGATCTTTTTTTCTATTTTTTATTATAGGAATTTTGTGTAAATACTACTACTTTGCAGATTGGGACAAGAGGTTGGATACACGATTCGTTTTGAGGACTGTACAACACCAGAGACTATTATTAAGTACATGACAGACGGTATGCTTCTCAGGGAAGCTCTTATAGACTCAGAGATGGGAACTTACAGGTGGGATCATCTTGATGGATTTTATCTCGACTTAAGGTTAAAGTTCACCTGAATAAGTTAGATTTCCCTTCTTGTTGGCGTTGCCTTGACTTGACTAGATCTTGAATTGATCTTGACTTGATCTTGATCTTAACTTGATCTTGACTGGATCTTGACTTGATCTTGACTGGATCTTGAATTGATCTTGACTGGATCTTGACTGGATCTTGACTGGAACTTGACTGGATCTTTGGATCTTAACTGGATCTTAACTGGATTTTATCTTGACTTGATCTTGACTTGTTCTTAACTTGGTCTTGACTTGTTCTTGACTTGTTTTTGACTTGTTCTTGACTTGATCTTGACTTGTTTTTGACTTGTTCTTGAGTTTTTCTTGACTTGATCTTGACTTGATCTTGAATTGTTCTTGACGAAAGTAATTACATTTAGACTTGTTTGTGTCTTTGTTCTTGAATTTATGGTAAGTTGAAAATAAATTTAGTTTTTAATTAAGTTGTATAATGTTGGACGAGGCCCACGAACGTACAATCCACACAGATGTGCTGTTCGGTCTCCTCAAGAAGGCTGTGAAGGCGAGACCAGAACTCAAGCTTATTGTAACCTCCGCTACCCTAGACGCGGTCAAATTCTCAGAGTACTTCTTCGAGGTAGAACAGTTCATTGTAAACTTTAAAAGATACACTTCTTTGGACGGGCATTTCATTGCTCACTGGTGTAGTACTCACATGTCTAGTTCAGATGTTTATGATATTGTAAGTCATAAATTTAAAAAATCGATATTTAAAAATAAAAAAGGACAATTTAATTTTCTCAGTCATTTTTGTTAAAGCACTTGTGATAAAAAGAAGTCCGAAAGTACTAATGTCTGTTTGTTTGTTTTTGTCTTTGTCCGACAAAAACTCGGGAACCCTTTGACTGATTTGCCTCAAATTTGGATCGAGGAACTTAGTAGAACTATGGGAATGTTATTAGCTTAGTTTTCTAATTCCAAGTTGGCTTGGTTGACTTTTAAAGCGAAAGTTTGTCATCCAGGTAAAGCTTGGTTCCCAGGCTAGTTTAAAATAAAATTAACAACCTTGAAAACTAACAGAAATAGTGGNGGAATGCTATTTCAAGAAAAATAAATAATAAATTCTAAATGAAAGCTGTTTCTTATTTAGGCTCCAATCTTTACCATTCCTGGGAGAACATTTCCTGTAGAAATATTATACACCAGGTAATAGACAATTTTTAAATTAGAGCTGGAAACTTTTGAATCGGTTTACTAAGTTAAACAATACCAAAGACGTTATTTAAATGAACCCTTAATTTATAGAGTGGTACCTTCACTCCTTTGATTGACAAATGATGACATAGTTATTCTTTAATTGTATTCTCACAAACGCTTAAATTGAAAACTTTGTATTCAAGTGCAACCTCAGATGAACAATGGATTGATTGATTGACACATTTAAAATGAATGAATTTGTATTGGATAAACGACAGTTCGATGATTGGTTAATGCGCAGTGTTCTTTTATACTTTACTTATTGTTTTAAAGTTTATTTTGTATTGATTGTATGATTGTTTGATTGAATAAATGATTGATTGATTGATTGATTGATTGATTGATATCAGAGAACCAGAGACCGATTATTTGGATGCTAGTCTTATTACTGTTATGCAGATTCATCTAAACGAACCTCCAGGTATATTTCTGGTTTACATTATCTTCATTTTATTGCTGCTTAGTTACTTGATTTGCGGATTTTTTCATGGTTTAATTTATTAATTAAATTATCTAATTTTATTCAATGTTTGTTCTTTTGATCCCTTGTTTGATTTAATTGATTGATTCATTGATTTTCTTGATTAATGATTATATTTTGATTCATTAACAAACTGATTTCGATCCATTGTTTGATTTATAAATTCATCGATCAATTCATTGAATTATTGATTCGTTAATAAACTTTATTGATTTCTTGATCAATTTATTGATTTATTGATCAATTAATTGATTTCTTGATCAATTCATTGATTTATTGATCAATTCACTGATTTGTTAATTCAACGAATAGTTCATTGATTCATTGATTCATCGATCAATTCAATGATTCAATGATTTATTAATCAATTCATTGATTTATTGATCAATTCATTGATTTGTTGATCAATTAATTGATTTATTGATCAATTCATTGATTTGTTAATTCAACGAATAGTTCATTGATTCATTAATTCATCGATCAATTCAATGATTCATTGATTTATTGATCAATTTATTGATTTTTTATCAAGTATTTTATTTTTAATTATTAACAAACTGCTTTCTATCCATTGTTTGATTTAATAATTCATCGAATAATTCATTGATTTATTGATTCTGTTTCGCTACTTAGCGAATTCCCTAAAGACCTAATGAAACTTATAAGTACCGAGTGGTATTTCTCTGGATAGGATTGTAAGACTTCCTTCTCTCAACGCTCTCCATAACAAAAGGATGATAATAAGGTTCCGAACGTTTATTTCTCTGAGTCTTCAATCTAAATAATCTTTTATAAGCCTACAGAAAAAGCATTGAGTGACAAATCATACAAATACAGCAATAAATCCACTCAGGCATTAAAAAACTGTGGCAAGGAACCCATACATTACATTATACGATATCAACCATAACCGAACATAAATAATCAAGATTCATATAAATATAAGCATAATTACCGCAGTGGTCCTAGAATCTCACACGGTTTTAATAATCGACGATCTTTACATGAAATACAAATATATACTAAGGTAGAATCTGCTCGCTTCCACGCAGAAAACTTGCGCATGCGTAGTCGGACTGTAAACAGCTTCTAAAACTAGTTCTTTACAATACGTTCTGTACAGATCCTCAGGGAGAACTCAGAGATTCGCAGGGGTATCACATAGACTTTATGAACGCAGCATGGCTCGCGTAACAGATTCATTGATCAATTCATTGATTAATTGTTTCATCGATCAGTTCATTAATTTTTAATTATCTATTTTATTTTATTTTGATTTATTTTTGATCCTTTGTTTGATTAATTAATTTATTAATTGTTTCATTGTTTTATTGTTAATGATTAATTCATTAACTGTGATTAAAATTTATTGCTTCATTGATTTGAAAATTTTTTCATTGATCCATTTATTGACTTAAATATTCTTTGATTTAAATTTTCGATTACAATTGATTGATTGATTGTTTAGGGGATGTATTGTTATTCTTAACTGGACAGGAGGAGATTGATACAGCATGTGAAGTACTCTTCGAAAGGTTTGTGTGATTGTTTATTATGAGAAATATAAAGAATGGACTTTTTTGTTATCTAACGTTCTTAAAAATCTTACATATTAAAAAAATACATTTTCTAGAATGAAATCGTTGGGACCAGAAGTTCCTGAACTAATCATACTTCCGGTGTACAGTGCCCTGCCATCAGGTAGTTATCTTGTCTCATCTAAAAATATAATCATAGTTTTGCTCGAAACTATTATCTAAACTTTGTCTGTTTAGAAATGCAGTCGCGTATTTTCGACCCAGCATCTCCTGGTTCTAGGAAGGTTGTTATTGCGACTAATATCGCCGAGACTAGTTTAACCATCGACGGCATTCTCTATGTGATAGATCCTGGCTTTGTCAAACAGAAGGTAGTAATAAATAATAATTACAGAGATATCAACTAAAATTGAGACTTCAATGACGACTTCTATATATAGCGATCTGAAGGTGAAATTGTGTCTTTGTTTTAAATGTTGTTAGCCTTACAACGTTTGCTCGATTTACCTATAGGAGTCCTGAGCCCACGATTTAAAAAATTCGGGAAAATACGGCTCTGAGTCTAAAACTAAAGAACGAAAAGTTTTTGACTTAAATTTTAAGTTCATGGTTAAATGCCACTTCTGACTTAATTTAAACCTGAACTTTAACCGTGAGGTTAAATATTTAAGCCTGTGGTTAAATATTTAACTCGCCGAAATTGACGAGTTAAAATTTAAACACAGGGTTAAAATCTTAAAATCCTGCATTTTCCCTATTTGTCTATTATTCAATCATCATTCAGCTGAGAAAGTGGCATTCAACTTTATGATATATTTAAAAGTGAAAACCTTGTTAAAGAAATTTCACGTTTTAGATTAATTAATTTTTGCATGTAAACCCAAAAAACGGTTGTATAACTCGAAATATGTTTTGTTTTCGGTTACGTAATCAGCTGATTAGCGATGGTTATGTAATATTCTCCGTAAATCCTTTTCTCTGATTGGTTCAGATTTTCCCGGGAAATTCAAATTTAAAATTGAGAAAGTTTAATACTGAAGTAGCTATTCATTATTTTACAGAACTTTTAACCACGAACTTAAAATTCGCGCATTCTTTAGTTTTAGACTCAAGACGCAACATTGAGCCTTATTCTCCACTAAAACCAATCAAGGTCGGTTTTATTCTCATTGGGCCTAACTCCTTAAGTCGAGCTGAAGATCTTGCAGCTGTCAATCACGTGACACAAGCTGTCGTCAGAGTTGAGACTAAGATTGGGTCTAAAAGTCGGGGTTAAGGAATTACGGCTCGAGCCGAATTTTTTAAATCGCGGGCTCAGGCAAGTTTGCTACAAACATAAGAGCAAGCATAAACTCTTTCTTTTCAGGGCTCACCTCAATTTGATTGATATCTTATATATATTTCAGGTAGTCAGTTTATACAGGACTCAACCGTGAACTGAAAACACAATAAATCAGTCCGGTTATTTTAATTGCATACAACACTAAAAGTACTAGCTTTAAATAATAATTTTTCTCCAGGTTGAAAAACATTAAAATTTATATAAATTAAAAAGTTCACTTACAATGTTGACTTGTTTGTCTTTAGAACGAGTTGGAGAACTTCTCGACATTGAAAACCCTGATCACAATAGTTCACAAAAGATCCTCAGATCTTACAAAATGATATACTAAATAATTTGACAAAAACGCTAATTTTGCAGGGAAAAAAAGATTGCAGTCGTCTCTGAAGTTTCATCCTTTCTTTGACAATCCTGTTCATTATCTCAGAAACTTGATAACAATTTCTGTCCAAAAAGAATCTTTTTATAATCCTAGGTTTACAACAGTAAGACTGGAATGGACTCCCTGGTTGTGACCCCTATATCCCAGGCAGCGGCCAAGCAGAGGGCGGGTCGTGCCGGTCGAACCGGACCGGGCAAAACCTATAGATTGTATACAGAGCGAGCGTACAGGCTAGTTTAAGGATTATCTGGAATTTGATACATTTTATTTGTTGATATTTTGTTTCTGAAAATTGAAAATATTTAATGTTTTTTAGTTTCAATTGATTTTTGCTTTTTGATTAGAAGTATTGATAATAATTAAGGAAATTATGAATTGATTATAATCTTAATCATGATAGTATCAATTAGGTGGTATTATTAATGGATGATTAAAATGATGAAATTGATGATAAAAATTATATTTTCAATGAAACAATGATATTTATGACGAAAACAATAATACTTAAAGGACGAAAACAATGATAGTTATGAGGAAAAGAATGATATTAATGAGGAAAACAATAATATTAATGAGGAAAACAATGATAGTAATGAGGAAAAGCATGATATTATTGATGAATAAAATGTTAGAGATGAGATGTTACCAACCCCGGTTCCTGAGATTCAGCGAACAAATCTTGCTTCAACTCTTCTTCAACTTAAGGTAGATACTTGGTGACATGCAAATATCATATTTTTAATGTGTTTGAAGGATTCTAAATTCAAAAATTTAATTAATGTTTCACATACTTAGTTTACTATTAAATATTATATATTTTACTACGGTAGGTTTCTGTAAAAATAATTGCAGCCGGATTTTTGTCTAATATTTCACAACATTTTATTCTCCGCTTCCCCACCCTCCCCCTTTTAATTTATATATTTTATTTTCAGTTTAAAATGTTGCATCAAACTCAAAAATGAAAGGATGGGACTTGACATGATAATTTATATTGTAAAATATATGTATGTATTGTTTGTCTAGGCAATGGGAATAAATGACTTGATAGGGTTTGATTTCATGGATGCACCTCCTGTGGAAGCAATGATTCATGCTCTAGAACTACTTCATACACTCTCAGCTCTAGATGATGAAGGTTACAGTTAGATAATTAGATATTTCATTATTGTTAGCTATTCTTTGTTCATTGTCCATTGTCAACTGGTTAATTGGCCATGGCTAAGTAATCATGATTACTTGTTAAGTATTCATGATTACTTGTTAAGTATTCATGATTACTTGTTAAGTATTCATGGTTACTTGTTAAGTAATTATGATTACTTGTTAAGTATTCATGATTACTTGTCAAGTATCCATGATTACTTGTTAAGTATTCATGATTCATTGTCAATCATTAATTGTTCATTGTTCATTGTAAATTATTCCTTTTTCACTGTTAAGCGTACAATTTTCATTGTAAATTTAAGCCTCATTATCTCATTGAATTCAGTATTTCTTTAAATTGTCCCAAACTAAAAATAATCTATGTTTTTGTTCAACCTTGAGATACCATTAATCACATAAAATATCATGGGACTTTCATCATATCTCATCTCGAACATAGCTCGTAAGAAATGCGAATATAAATTAGGGGTGTATATTCTTGTATCCTTTCTAACAATGTTTATCCTAAATTTGTTTATTTTTCCATTAAAGTCATAGAATTTCCCCAGTTCAGCGAAAAAATGGGTGGGGGGATATGATTTTTAAGAAAATAAGTTGATACAAATACACAAAGATCCGGACTAAAACCCCTCGAGTTTGTGAAGGAATTAAACCTCCAGCCTGTATGAAGAATACCTCAAGCAATCCTTGCATTAATATTTACAGTCTGACTATTTTTTAAAATGAGAACATGACTTTAACGGCTGAGCAAAAAATTAAAGTGGATTGCAATATTGATCATGTTTTTATCTGTTTAGGCCTGTTGACCCGGTTAGGTCGTCGAATGGCCGAATTCCCCCTGGAGCCTAATCTAGCGAAGATGTTGATCATGGCCGTGAACATTCAGTGCTCCGACGAGATTCTAACCATCGTGTCTATGCTCTCAGTTCAGAATGTATTCTATCGACCCAAGGAGAAACAGCAGATAGCGGATCAGAAAAAGGTGAAGACGACATTAATATACAAAAATCAAGTTGTAGACGCCATTTTTATTTTGAATGCACAGGAAGACAACAAATTAAAGAATAACCAGGGACTGAAATTAATGAATTTGTTAGAAGAAGTTTGAACCACGTAGACTAAATTGAACCACCTGATCTGGCGCAAAAGAGAACTGGTTGAACTTGTGGGGTTATTTAGTTCAACTACTTCTAGCTCTTCAAATAATTGAATTTTAAAATTTTACCTTCAATAAGCTATCATGAGGTTAAAGATCATGAATACTTACTTGATACTTGATACTTGTGAAGTAATTCTCCATCTTCCAAATAGGATTAGTTAATAAGTTATGAATCGGATAATATTATTTCTATCCAATGTTTCTGTGAAGTTAAACCTCACGGAAAGTTAGTAGTTTAACTGAGAACCCGGGTTCCCACTTTATACTATGTAAATTTCACCGTTAAAAAACAATAGAATTAATTAATTGTGTTCAGGCTAAATTTAATCAAGCAGAGGGAGATCATATTACTCTACTAGCAGTCTATAATTCATGGAGAAATAATAAATTTAGGTTAACTTTTTATTTTTTTATTTTTTATTTATTTATCAACTTCTCATTGTGGCAATAATTTTACTTATTCAAGTATTTGATCATTTAATTATTTATCCCATCATGCAATTTTTACTGATATTTATTTATTCATTCATTTTTTATTTTTATCTGATTAATTCAAATTCATTTGCGATCCGGCTTTCAAAAATTCAATACAAACTTCCTGAAACGCTTTATTCATCTATTTGTTTATATACAATACAGGTTAAGCCAAAAAAAAAGGTGAATAGCAAGATCTTGCTTATAATTTAACAATACTTTTTTTGTACTTTAAAAATTCGGTGATGGTGATGGACCAAACCTCCGTAGAGTAAAAAAAGTAGATGTTAGTTTCACATTTATTGAAAATATATTTCAATCTGGGTAGATAAGTAGGAAAACAAAAGTGTTGGAATATGTTATTTCTGTCACACATTAATATCTTAAATTAGATTAGGTAAGAAGTTTCAGAGAAAAGGCGCGAAACTTAATTCATTTCTTCTTGTATATTTTAATATTTTAATAATAAACTCTTTTATGCGTATTTTCTTATTATTTTAATATAGACATTTTGACCATCTGAAAAAGTTCTACTATAAAAAAAGTTAGAAATAATTGCGAATTTTATGAATTTAATTCGCGCATTTTCTCCGAAACTACTCATCTGATCAGGACCTGTTTAAGATTTTAGTGTGTGACAGAAATAACATTTCAGCGCTTTTGTTTTTCTACTCGTCTAATTTTGTTTTTCTACTCATCTAATTTTGTTTTTCTACTCATCTAATTTTGTTTTTCTACTCATCTAATTTTGTTTTTCTGCTCGTCTAATTTTGTTTTTCTACTCATCTTATTTTGAGTAAAAAGAAGTTTCGCGGAATTTTTTTACAGAGACTTTCGAACAACCTAATTAAAAATTTATTTCATGCATATTTGTCAATGAGGTTACAAAAAAATTTCTATATCATATGCAAGATCAAGCTATTCACCCTTTTTTTTTACTCACCCTGTATTTTTTTTATGAGTAACTGTTTTTTTAGTTCTGCTTGGTGTTATGAAAACTTTGTTCAGCAGAGAACACTGAAGAGATGGTTAATAGTTTAAATATTAGAAGCTTTATCAGCTGATGGATGAATGAATTTTATCAGTGCTTATTTCACTTAGATGATTCTTCCTGCAAAAAATGGACCCATATTCAAAACCGGATCCGGTTAAAGCTCGACAATATTTCTTTATCTTTTGCTAACCTCTTATACTAAAAACCAATTTTCTAAAACTTCTCCTTTGGTCATTTGTATTTTTATGCAGAAACATGATTACTTAATGCAGATAGTCAATCATTAGAAAGATTTTAATTATATCTCATCAGCCAACAATAAAAATGTGTTTGGAGAGAAAATGTTTGTTTTTAATCTTTAGGTTGAATTTTTGCCACTTGGATCCGTACCAAGTTAAAATGTTTTGGTGTCAATGGATCTGGATTCCAAATCCATGACTGAATTTTACTCAAAACAAACAATGTTTTATTCCTAGGACGTGAGAAAACAGTTGTTGGGTATTATGGACAGACATAAGCTTGATGTGGTCAGCTGTGGTAAAAGTACCACTAGGTGAGCAAATTATGATTTGTTTAATTGTGGTAAACGGAAAAGGTCTCAAGATCTTTGGTGGTCAAATATTTTGATAAAGTATGATCAGATGTGGTAAAAGTAGAAGAAGATGGATAATTAAATGCAGGATTGTCCTTTGATAAAGATTCTAATGATAATAATGATAATAATGATAATAATGATAATAATGATAATTATGATAATTATGATAATTATAATAATTATAATAATTATAATAATGATAATAATGATAGAAATGAAGAGGGCATACAAGAATAAAATCAATCGATCAATATTTCCAGAGTCCAGAAAGCAATCTGCTCCGGGTTCTTCAGGAACGCAGCGAAGAAGGATCCCCAGGAGGGTTACAGAACTTTGGTGGACGCACAGGTATATACTCAGAACTCAGATGGACGCACAGATAGTACTAAGAACTTTTGTGGACGCATGGGTAAATACTCAGAACTGTATATCTGGTGGACGCACAGGTTAATACTCAGTACTGTCTAGCTGGTGGACGCACTGGTTAATACTCAGAACTGTATATTTGGTAAACGAACAGGTAAATATCCAACTGTCTGGTGGACAAAAAGGTAAATATCAAACAGTCTGGTGGACGCACAGGTAAATATTTAACTGTCTGGTGGACGCACATGAAAATACTCGGATCTTTGTTGAGTGCTCACTGATAAATAATACGAGAATGAAATGCTTCTATTTTAAATCTATTCATAACACGCTCAGTAAGTTTTGTACGAAAATAATAATAATAATATTTTATAAGGCACATAATTATACATTTACAAGGGTTAAAAACACATTGATGAATTCTATGATTATTACAGTGCCGGGAAACCCGGAGAGCTCAATATCTGGCTGTCTGGTCCAGGTCCCTGAAAACTTTAGATCATCTGTTATATTTGCGATTAGATAGTTCTCTTTAGGAAATCGGAACTAGCTAATCCATCATCCATATACTCTTACGTTACATATGATGGACAACGCTGACATTATGTGCTCTGATGATAATTATTTAGCAGGATTAATTCATTGTTAAGAATTTTTGAAGTGTTTCATCACGGACAGTTGTTCAGGTAAAAAAACTAATATTTTCTTGTTCTAGATGGTTTCTATTCATCCAAGCAGTGCCCTGTTCCACCGTCAACCCGAGTGGGTCGTCTTCCACGAGGTTGTCCAGACCACCAAAGAGTACATGAGAGAGGTCACCACCATCGACCCCAAGTGGTTGGTCGAGTTTGCTCCCGCATTTTTCCGATTCTCCGATCCGACCAAACTCTCTAAATTCAAGCAGACTCAGAGGATTGAACCTCTGCACAACAAGTACGAGGAACCTAACGCCTGGAGAATCTCAAGAACAAGAAAACGGCGAAATTAAATTATTATTCCATGTTATTTTCGATTATATGTTGATAATTATGAAAATACGAGAATAGTTAAGTAGAACTGCAGGAGGGGAAAGAATTTTGAATTTTCAGATAGAAAATGAAGAATGTTTATAGACTGGAGGCAGACGAGGAGCTGAGAATTGAGGAACTTTCAGATTAATTTTTCTAAAATGGAGCAACTTATTTTTCTTATTACTTTGCTTTTTATTAATTGTATTTTAATGAATTTGTTGTCATTATCAGGTTTATGAATTAGGCTTGTGGTTCTTTCTAGCATATACAATACGTACTCAGATTTATTGCTGTGGAGTAAAAATATTGAACTACAGTTAGTTACTTTTCATATCTTTCTCGACCTAATTTTCATCAGTGATTGGATTAATATGTACAGTTTACAATAACTGGATCCCTGGCCTTGTATACACTTTTCCAAAAGGGTCTAAAGTGATAAAACGACATTGTGATTCATAAATTCTATTTACTTTCAAATCTGACATCTGTAATATTTGGTTTACCATTCAACCATTAGGGACATATAGTTAACTGTTACCATAGCACAGTGAATAAAAGTCATATATTCGAAATGATTAGTTATTCTGTTACCGTTGTAAATGGTAGGGCCCTTCATATTTGTTATTATTGAGTACGTCAATCTGTTTTTCTTTTTAAAATGCTTGGCATTGCAAAATATATTTTGAAGTTTATACTGCCTTTTTCTTAATTCTTTGGTATGCGTAAGTGCCAACAACACATATATGGTAAATGTGCAGTTTTATATGCTGAAGAATTTATTATTATCATGAATAAATCGTTTCAATGTTGTTATATTTACAAACTAAAGAATAAAATCTTGACACACTTCATCTTTGGTTTAAGAACAAATTCGAGATAAGATTTAATTTTCAAAAAAATAATATTTTACAAAAATATTTAATATTTATTAAGTTTAAAGTCAGCTACAATTTTAACAACTCATGAAACCCATGGGCAGACATTTATTGTCGGGATCATTTTCGAAGATAGTTAAAAAGAAGAAAAGGGAATTTTCTGAAAAGTTAAAAATAATCTGGCGGGTCAGGTTGATTGTCCCAAGACGGAGAAGATCAGCGTCGAGCTGATGACCGGTGTGGCGGAGATATTCGGCACCGAGATGGTTCAACACACTAAATATTATTTTGCAGCCGGAGCCAAAATATCAGTATTCACGTACCACGGTTGCACTGTAGAGGTAAATAATTCAATATGAAATTTTGCAAAAAAATTAATTTGTTTGAAATGTATTTTCCAAACCAATAATTTTTTTTGGTGTATATTTATTGATTAAAAAAAGGGATGAGCATTTTGATGAATCAGCTTTTAAGATAAAGAATATCAAAACAAAACTTTTTAACACAGTACATGCTTTTTAAATAAGGACAAGACGGAAAAGATAAAATTCATTGTCAATAATTGATAAAAGACCGGGACATAAATCCTGAATGTGGGAAGGAATTGGACCTCTGAACCATACTGATATGATGCCTCAAGCAATCCCTGTTAAGTATGATTTCATCGCTTCATCGATTGATTGATTGATCGATTGATTGGTTGGTTGATTTATGTAATGTATCCAGGTATCTGGGAACCTGGAGGTGGAACCCTACTCCTCGAAAGAGACGCCAATGATAATCTACCTCAACACCCACGCTGCACTCGAACAGCTCAGACTTAAGGAAATCCTGACGAAATATTTTTTATTTGTGCCTTTTTCAGTTCTAGATATAGGAACAAAAATGGCTTCGCGGTCCTTTATGAATTAAAGTCGTATTAAATTTAAAAATATTTTTAAAAATTGATTTAAAACACATATTAATTTGAAGCTTTAAACGATTTTTTATTTAATACTTTAAATTCATTCAACTTTTATAAATCATGATGGATTTAATTCCGAATCAATGTATTTATATTTAAGAATTGAAATTTTGCGTTTAAGAATTGAGGTTTTGTTTGGAATCAAGGTTTTTGTTCGAGAAAAGAGATTTTTCTTGAGAATTGAGATTTTTGCTGGAGAATTGAGATTTTTAGTTAAGAATTAAGATTTTGTTTGAGAATTGAGATTTCTAGTGAATAAATCAGATTTTTGTTGGAGAATTGAGATTTTTGTTTGAGAAATGAGACTTTTGTTTGAGAATTGAGATTTTGTTTAAGAATTGAGGTTTTTGTTTGAGAATTAAGATTTTGTTTGAGAACTAAGATTTTGTTTAAGAATTGAGGTTTTTGTTTGAGAATTGAGATTTTGTTTGAGAATTGAGATTTTGTTTGAAGATTGAGATTTTGTTTGAGAATTAAGATTTTTGTTTGAGAATTGATGTTTTTGGTCGAGAATCGTGGTTTCGTTTAAGAATTGAGAATTGATATGTCTGCTTTAGAATTGAAATTTATATTTGGTTTGGATAGGCGGAGCAGGATACGGACAGTACTGCACGTGGTCCGATAACCCTCCTCGTGGGGCCGACAGATGTAGGCAAATCTACGGTTTGCAGAATCCTTCTCAACTACGCGGTAAATACAGAGAAAATACACGAAATCGTCCAAGGGTTTATTTTATATTTTATGACTAATTTAGAATCCTATTTGTGATTAAATATGGCTTTATTTTCCCTTTCTACATACGATATAAAAATATTTGATTTATTGATGAATTAACTAGCTGATGATTGATTGATTTATCGATGAGTTGATTGATTTATTGGTTAATTTATTTATCAATTATGAATTGATTTATTTATTGATGAATTGATTGTCTTATTGATGAATTTATCGATTAACTGGTGAATTGATTTATTCATTAAAAAATTTATTCATTGATGAATTGATTTATATATTGATAAATTGTTTGATTTACTGATAAATTGATTGATCAATTTATTTTTTGATTGATTTATTGATGAATTGATTTATTTATTGATAAATTGTTTGATTTACTGATAAATTGATTGATCAATTTATTTTTTGATTGATATATTGATGAATTGATATATTTAGGTCCGGATGGGTCGGCGTCCTATCTATGTTGACCTAGATGTAGGTCAGGGTAGTATATCTGTGCCAGGATCATTTGGTAGAACTTTTAATTTTGGGATTTTGGAAAATATTTGAACAAAATGTTTCTTAGTGACAAGCGGCATGTACAGGCAAGGGATACAATGCTGAAACCTATGTGTTCTGCTTAGTATCATACATATTTAACNATGTTTTATTATTATTAAAGGAGCCCTGCTGGTGGAACGATATGCTGGTATAGAGTAGGAATGTCGTTGATGTTTTATCATTATTAAAGGAGCCCTGTTGGTGGAGCGACATGTTGGTATAGAGTAGGAATGTCGTTGATGTTTTATTATTATTAAAGGAGCCCTGCTGGTGGAGTGACATGTTGGTATAGAGTAGGAATGTTGTTGATGTTTTATTATTATTAAAGGAGCCCTGTTGGTGGAGCGACATGCTGGTATAGAGTAGGAATGTTGTTGATGTTTTAATATTATTTAAGGAGCCCTGTTGGTGGAGCGGCATGCTGGTATAGAGGAGGGTTTCAGTCAAAACTCTCCTCTTGTTTACCACTACGGACACAAGACACCTGGACATAATCTTGTTCTGTTTAACCAACTCGTCTCAAAAATAGGTAATCAAGACGTTAATTTGGTTAGTTCAAAAAACAAACCCTGAATTAGTCGCAAATATCCTCGTATTGTTAACTTAAAAGTATCAAGATCCGAATCCAGGTAGAAAAAATGCTGTATCCGAATATTAGATTTAGGTCATGTTTTGTTAGTTCAAGGAAAGCCGCTGTCAAAGCAATATAAGTTGACCCAATCAGAATTTGATAAGCTTATCGGCGTAAACTTTGGAACAATCCTTGACCCTGTTCCTGTTCAATATTTACAGTTAAAAATTGTAAAAATGACAAGCTATTGATCGTTTTACAAGTTTTTTTTTAAATTTTTATCAGAAATAATTGTCTATTTTTTTAACTCATTTTTTTGGTTGGAAGCAAAAAAAAAAGAGATAAAATTTAAAAAAGGTTCACTATTTATTATATGCCTTTGTTGCAAATACCAGCATAAAAATAATAGAAAATATTCAGACATAGACAAACATAAAAGAGATAATACTTTGTTGTTTTACATTTAGTCATATCATAATTGTCCCCTCAAACAGAATTATTTTAGATAGTTTTACATATTTTTTCCGTTATTAATTTGGACACATGGATTACAATGACTTATTGTTAAAGTTTTTGATGTTTTAAATACTTGAAAAATAATAATAAAACTATAAAGGCGCGTAAACAAAATTAAATATTAATATTTAAAATGAGATTTTTAACAGTATTTTACAACCCTGCATTTTATTTAACAGTATTTTACACCCCTGCAATTTATTTAACAGTATTTTACACCCCTGCAATATATTTTAACAGTATTTTACATCCCTGCAATATATTTTAACAGTATTTTACACGCCTGCAATATATTTTAACAGTATTTTACACCCCTGCAATAAATTTTAATAGTATTTTACACCCCTGCAATATATTTTAAATTACTTGTTTAGCGGATGTAGTGCGAGATCGGTTAGCGGCAAACAAAAAAGCCCAAATTTCAGGTACAAGGGAAATATTGTTATCATTTTTTCATTTAAACGAATTTTAAATTTACAATTAAGTTTTTATATGATGATAATGAAATCAGTAGTATTTTTTTGTCTACACTTAAAAAAAAGTATGATATCGACAACAAGAGATTGAAAAAAGGGAAAAGAATTTTTGAAAAAGTGGAAATTATGAATAATTAAATGTAATATACATATTTAAAGTAATCCTCCATTCAAAGACAGCAATGCCCGATTCACAACAACGGTACCCTTGAAATCTTTATCTGATTAATAATGAAGAAGATATTGTCGTTTTTCTAGAGTGTTCAATTCTCATAAATTCTGTATTTTTTTCCGACAATGAAATGCGCAAGTAACTTGTGTAGAGGTCTCACAATTGTAAATGATCAGTTTTCCAAATTGCTAATTTGAAATGATATCGAGTTTATTCTTTTATCAGACAAAGCTTAAAAGGGTACCGTTGATAATCGGGTATTGCCATCTTTGCATTGAAATTGAATAGGTGTGGTTATAAACACATGCGGCTGGGTGAAGGGAGAGGGATACAACCAAATTAAACACATTGCTCAGGCTTTCGAGGTAAATTAAAGAATATGTCAACCTTAATCAGAAATGAGATTTTAAAAGCTTAAACCCGAGTAAAACCCAAACTCGGGCTTAGATAGAACCTAAGTCAGGATTGGTTCTGATTCGACCAATGAGAGACTGTTTAGAAAGCTTTATCTCTGTAGCAGACAGAATGCCGTCAGATCAGCTGTGACAAGGAGATGTAAATTTCGATAATCAAACTTAATGTAGAAACATTATTTTCATAGTATGTTTATTTTATATATTTAATAAAATTTGACACCACAAATAATTCCGGAGATACAAATATAAAAGATTTTACGAAATTTACGATCATCAGCTGCTGAAGACTCGAGCCTTAAAGAGAGTAAATCCCAAGAGGGTTGGTTTTTACTAAACTCAAGGACATCCAAAACCCGGGTCTTGACTTGAGCTTTACTTGGGTCTAAGCAGACGCAAAGACCGGGTTTTAGTCGGGTTTAAGCTTTTAAAATCTCATCTCTGGTTTAAATAGGTGAATACGAACCTTTTAGAATATATTCCCCTCATTTAAATATTAATCTGATTTTGATAAATTTTAGACTCCAGTCCAAAAGTTTTGTTTTAGGTTGATGTTATCGTAGTATTAGATCAGGAAAGAATATACAACGATTTAGGTAAACTTTATAATTTAAAGAAAGGAAATTTGAAAATATGTAATTATCTAAAATTGTAACTTTTTAGTGCGCGATATGCCCAAGTTTGTGAAGGTAGTCTGGCAACCTAAATCTGGGGGAGTAGTCAGCCACCAGAGAACAGATCTTTGAGATCTCAGGTATACAGGGGGTGGGGAGGTAGGCTTACTTACTTGTTTACTTGAAGAGGAACTTCTAAGGGACCATCTTGATCCAAGGAAGAAGTGTCAGCTTTACTGGTGACCCAGACCATTTCCGAGAACAGAGGTTTGATAGATTACTTCATCAGGGTAGGGGCACTTGGCTCAAATACATGTTTTTAAACTATTTGACATTTCTTGCATTTTTGATGTTTTCAGGTAGTGCATTCCACTGCTGAACTATTCTATTGGAGAAGAAGTGTTTTCTTATATCCAAATTGGGTCTGGAAGCTACTATACAAAGGGACTGTTCACTTGTTCTGGTTACTCTCCTTTCAGTGTCACTATACAGCTCAAACCAAATCTTTCTGTCCACATCATCTATTCCATGTATGATTTTTTAGGTTTGTACAAGATCGGTGTATGTTCTTCTCTCCTCAAGTGTAGTCAGACCAAGTTCTTTTACCCTTGTTAGATAATCGGTTTCTTGTACTCCATTAACCTGTTTTAGAGCTTTTTTCTGGACATTTTCTAACCTTTCAACATCTGAAGTTAACCATGGATTCCAGACTGGAGAGGAGAACTCAAGATGAGGTCTTACATATGTCTTGTACAGATTTATGTATGTAGTTCTATCTCTATAGGTGAAAGCTCTCAGGATCTGGTTCTGAACAGCCATAGCTGTGTTTGCTGCTTTCTGACACTGCATACTCGGTTTTAAATTATCATTAATTAGTACTCCAATGTCCTTTTCCTTTGTATCTGATTGGAGTTTTCCCCTCCAATGTGGTATTCATAGCGTGGATTGTGTTTTCCCATGTGAATAATTTTGCATTTACTCACATTGAATTCATCCCCCACTTGACTGACCAGTCATAGAGGTTATTCAGAGCTGTTTGCATTAGAATTTGATCCTAGTCAACCGATCAGAGAACAGATGTTAGAGATCTCAGGTTTACTGATTATTTGCTAATTATCATTAGCAAAAAACGGAAGAATAAACACATGTAACTAGCTAATATTTTAGAGTGAAGCAGTATTTCTATGGACCAACTGGGAACTTGTTCCCTCACAGTTTTGATGTTCCTTTTTCAGATCTTAAGGTAATTAATTTTCAGATCTCAAGGTAAATATATTTTCAGATCTGAAGGTTAATATATTTTCAGATCTCTAAGATAAATATATTTTCAGATCTCAAGGTTAATATATTTTTAGATCTCAAGGAAGTTATATTTTCAGATTTCAAGGTTAATATATTTTCAGATCTCTAAGATAAATATATTTTCAGATCTCAAGGTTAATATATTTTCAGATCTCATGGTTAATATATTTTCAGATCTCAAGGTTAATATATTTACAGATCTCAAGGTTAATATATCTACAGATCTCAAGGTTAATGTATTTTCAGATCTCAAGGTTAATATATTTTCAGATCTCAAGGTCATCATGTTTTAAGATCTCAAGATAGATTACTTGTGAAGTTGTATTATTTTTTTTGCTGGAATCATAGTGGCTGTATAACATCATAATAAATGTATTTTTTGTACAGAATAAAAATCATAATCAACTCGCTTTTCAAAAAAGATCAAAATCCTAAATACAAACCTCAAACCTTAATGTTGGAGCTCAATCAATCCCCGTGTGATTTTATTTGATTTTCTTTGGTCGAATTTGATCTGATCTGATCTGATCTGATCTTGATTTTATTTTTGATTTGACTGGATTAGTTCTTAAATAGTTCTTATGGAAAAGTATTGATTTCTAGCTGAAAAGAGCTAATAATCAAATTAGTTTCATCATGACATAGAACAATTAAAATGTACAGAGCGTCCCATATCATATTAGATTATCTCCAATCTTTAACGCCAAAATACGCACATAATACTCTAAAAATCTAGCATATTCTGCAAAAAAAAATGTTCTATTAGCCTAATTAAATTTTTCAAAATAATTCATTCTTCTTAACTTTTCTGATTTGTCCCACAAATCGTAATTAAGACCCATTAACGTGGTCTAATTTGATGTGGGACACCCTGTATATAAATAAGTGATCACTTCTATCCCTTTTCTTGTTTTTTAACATGTACAAGAGACAAATATTTTTATTCAATTAACGCTTACATTACTGTTTTTAACTTTACTATTTTTATCACGTACACTTTACTTTCGTCGTTCGGATTTTATTAAAAAATAAGATAAAAAGTGGGAACTAACTGGGGTTCTTTCTATTTTACTGCTAAAGAAAAAAAATCAATGATTTTATCCCGGGAAACTAGACAAATTATGATTATTGTATTGTTTACTATTTAGGACAAGATTTACAAGATCGGAGCACCTGAGCTACCAGACTCTTGTCTACCCTTGGGGATGAAAGTTTCAGACAATAAAACAAAAGTAAGAAAATTTTAAAAATATCTTTTTTGAAAAAAAGAATATGCCAGAGATAAGAACTAAAGAAAGGATGTTTTTTTATATAAAAATTTCTTATGTGCAAATACAATAAAGTTTTTTGCATTTTGAAAGGGAAATCAAATGCGTTGAAATTTTGTAGTAGAAAAGAATACTTCATAAATTTTTAATTTATCAGCAGACTTCTTTTTTCTTATTGGGTTTCCTCAGAAATAACGAAAAAATTCAAGAGATAAGAGATAAGAATTAACTCGATAAAACTTTGATGTTACCTTTTTGTTGGAGTCTAAAAAAAGATAATTTCCTCGCTTACTTATAAATAATGACACACCAAATAGGAGAAATTTGTCAACATTACTGTTAAATGAAAAACAGTCTATTTCTGGAGGGAAATAATTATTACAGGGAAGGGAATTTTACAATACTTAGGGCTTCCAGGACCAATTTTTCTTATAAATTGTGACACGGGACGTTAAGTAGCTTATCGTCCCACTGTTGGGGGAATAATAGCTCAGAAATGTTGGTCAAAGTTTGGTTTATTATTTAGTTAGTTGTGATAAACCCGAACCCACGTGACCTGTTAAACCATCTTCTAGCTGTATCATTTTCTGCTGTACCAGAGGATGTTATCACAACAAATGTCGCAGGTCAGATTTTCCTAAATTTAAAACAAATATACCACTGAAAATTAGTATAGCTGTATATGTTTTTTTTGGCCGGGATTTTTACTTTTTATGTTTGTATAAGGTTTAGTTTAATCCCGAACAAAAAGTAAAAATCACAACTAAAACATAATCATAATGCAATACAGTTTTAGTTCTATATGTAGAAATTTATTCAATTCAAGTTTTATAAAAACATGCAATTTTTTATTATGACCCGTGAAATAAAAAGGGAAACCTGCTTTGCCGGTAAAAAATGTCACTGATTTGCCTCGGAACAAATAAGAACCTTTTTATACTCAAGATCATGAAATTATGAGTAGCTCCGGGATAAAAATTCTCTCAAAATTGAATCAGAAATATTTTCATTTTTCATAAAATTTCGTCAAATGTTTATTTCAGGCTTCATTGTGGTGACAGCTGTAAATATGGAAGAAAAGAAACTAACAGTGCTGAGTCCACAACCGAGACCTCTACCGGTAATATTTGAAACTATTACAACGTTTGTTCTCATTTGTTAATTTTAATTTGTCCGTTTTGTACCGCTGATATGTGCCCTAGAGTACAAATAAGTAGCAAATCTGAGCATAAACATACTAGCGTGTGAAGTTAATTATAAGATAATTTCACTAATTCTAAGGGTATGTTTATTGCTTATTATTATAATTAAATGATAATTATTTCAGGATACCCTGCTCCTTCTTTCTGATATTCAATTCGTGGACTCCGCCATGTAACTGGTTTATATGTACTGTTATTGTTTTTATATATTTGTACTGCACTAATTCATATTCACTGATCAGGACTATTTCAGATTAGACAATGTTATTGTTCTGATAGCCCAGTAGTCCTAGTTCCTTGTAGTCTAGGACTAGACAGGATGATTCAGGACAGTAGTCCAGTAGTTCAGGTTAGTAGTCCAGTAGTCCTAGTTCCTGCCTTGTAATCTAGGACTGGTGAGGCAGGATTATTAAAGACAGTAGTCCAGTATTCCAGGTTTGTAGTCCTGAAGTCCTAGTTCATTCCTTACAGTCTAGGACTAGTGAGACAGGATGATTCAGGACACTAGTCCGGTAGTCTAGGTTAGTAGTCCTGTAGTCCTAGATCCTGCCTTGTAGTCTAGGACTAGTTAAACAATATAGGATTCAGGACAGTATTCCAGTAGTCCAGGTTAGTAGTTCAGTAGTCCTAGTTCCTTGTAGTCTAGGACTAGTTAAGTCAAGATTATTCAGGAGAGTATTCCAGTAGACCAGGTTAGTAGTCTAGTAGTCCTAGTTCTTTTTAGTCTAGGACCAGTCGGACAGGATGATTCATGACAGTAGACCAGTGGTCCAGGTTATTAGTCTAGTAGTCCACTTTTTTTTCTTAAACATTTATTTTTATAATTGACATTTTTAGACGGGTTTATGAAACTATATACTGAGATTAACTTGAACCAGTATAGGATTCCTTTCTTTTCAGTAAATCCAACCTAAAGTGTAAAATCTAATATTTCTGGTTTTTGTTTGTGAAGTTCTTTTCTTGACAATTATTTTAAATATTGTTATGTATATTTGACTAGGCCCTGTTGGGAACTCTACTGACCTGGGGGTTAACTGCTGCTGGGGCTGCAACAGCTATATTTATCCGAGGAAACCATAGAATACTTCTTGATATCAGGTCACTAGATAGAATATACTTTAACCATAGAATACTTCTTGATATCAGGTCAATAGATAGAATACACTTTAACCATAGAATACATATTGAAACATACTTCTTGATATCAGGTCAATAGATAGAATACATTTTAACCATAGAATACATATTGAAACATACTTCTTGATATCAGGTCAATAGATAGAATTTAACCATAGAATACATATTGAAACATACTTCTTGATATCAGGTCAATAGATAGAATACACTTTAACCATAGAATACATATTGAAACATACTGCCTGATATCAGGTCAATAGATAGATAGCACTCTTTTGTAAAAAGTAAGAAGAATTTAAAAATATGATAGTTGATCAGTGTTTTTATATTACATTACCACTCTTTTCTTCGTTATACCTTTTATTCAAACCATCAGCAAGCTGGTCAGTGGTCAGTGAGTTTCAATTTTTTTTTCAGTTTAGGGTTTGCTGGTGGAGTGATGTTAGCCGCTAGTTACTGGTCACTTCTCGGTGAATATTTTATTATGATTTCATTACAGGGGCGTATTCAGGAATCCTTCCAAGGGGGGGCTTAAACTTTTTTCATTACAGGGGGGGGGGTTCAGCACCCGTTGGGGCCTGAAATCTCCCTGAAATTCATAGATTTCTTTGGTCCAGGGGGGGCTGAGCCCTCATAGCCCCCCCCCCCTGAATACACCTCTTCAAATGTATCGTATCAGTTTTTTTCCGATACCCTTTTACAATTTGATTTCTTTCTGATAACAAAAATTTAGGATATTCTAATGCAATGCATTACTATGTATTTTAGGTGAATATTATAACCAACCAACACCTGTTGTTTTTGTCAAAAATATTCTTGTTTTGCTGAGATCTTTAATTAATGGCATTGATTATTGCCCCTTGGGGCCCTCAATGCACACTGCTCAGTGCACCTGGGTGGGGGGTTTACGACGGAGTCCATTACAGATTACATTTCTCGATACTTTATTGTAATAATGATAAAATTGAAGGCTTATCCTGACTATTATATGAATTGTAGAACCTGCTCTTGAGATGGCTGGAGGCTTGGAAACCTACGGAGCTGAGGGAGAGTGGGCTTTTGTTCCTGTATCCATAGGTTTTTTTCTAGGTACTTGTTTAAACAAGTCCAAAATAGATCAAACTGGTTCTAACTTAATTAAAACGTTTTTAACCAGTCTAAACCATTCCAAACAGTTCAAACCAGTCCAAACCAGACTAAACCAGTCCACACCAGTCTAAACCAGTTCAAACCAATCCAAACCAATCCAAACCAGTCCTAACTAGTCCAAACCAGTTTAAACCAGTCTAAGCCAGTCCAAACCAGTCATTTCAGATCAAACTGGTTCAAACCCATTCAAACGTGTCCAAACCTGTGCACAACTGTTTAAACATGTTCAAACCGAAATTTAAAAGAGTATCGTTGAACGAAACTCCCGAGCTTCCTTTTTGGGGTCTTAATATTTGTGTAGATTTTGATTTAAGAGATTCGGAAAAAAATGGAGAATATGAAGAAACTAAATAACATATTATTTTATAACAAAAATATCGATATACACAAAACTGTCTAACCCCATACGTTAAACCCGGGTTTTAAAGCTGGTTTTCATAACGATACCCTGTCTTAAGTTTTGGGCTCTGGGAGTATCAAACTGTACACTGTTCAATGTATGTGTTTGTGTACGGAACTCATATATAAATTGATGTACAGGGAATATCATACTGTACACTGCCAGGGGTGTGTTTGTATACGGAGCTGATATATTAATGAATGTACTTGGCCTATCATACTGTACAGTGTACACTGTTCAGGAGGTGTGTTTGTGTACGGAGCTGATATATTAATGGATGTACTGGGAGTATCAAGTCCTGTAGATCTACTGAAGAAGGATGAGAGCAAGGGAGATATATATAATTCTAATCAGGTGGGCAAACTTAATATGTTGTACACTGTACAGTTTATAAGCTGTACACTAGCACCCTTGTACGTAATAATCTTTAGAGCGGCTACAGATCGTTATTTTTTTATCTAGGTATATTAAAAGGAGAATGTGAAGTAATTAATTATATGATTTTGTCCAGGTATATTATGAAGGAGAGGGTGGAGTAATTAATTATATGATTTCATCTAGGTATATTATGAAGGAGAGAGTGGAGTAATTAATTATATGATTTTATCTAGGTATATTATGAAGGAGAGGGTGGAGTAATTAATTGTATGATGCCATCTAGGTATATTATGAAGGAGAGGGTGGAGTAATTAATTATATGATTTAATCTAGGTATATTATGAAGGAGAGGGTGGAGTAATTAATTATATGATTCCATCTAGTTATATTATGAAGGAGAGGGTGGAGTAATTAATTATATGATTTCATCTAGGTATATTATGAAGGAGAGGGTGTAGTAATTAATTATATGATTTAATCTAGGTATATTATGAAGGAGAGGGTGGAGTAATTAATTATATGATTCCATCTAGTTATATTATGAAGAGAGGGTGTAGTAATTAATTATATGATTTCATCTAGGTATATTATGAAGGAGAGGGTGTAGTAATTAATTATATGATTTTATCTAGGTATATTATAAAGGATAGGGTGGAGTAATTAATTATATAATTTCATCTAGGTATATTATGAAGGAGAAGGGGGAGTAAGGAAAAGGATCAAAAGAAAAGGATCTCAGGATAATGAGGAGGGCTGGAGGGAGGAAGATAATGCTGAGGTATAAGTTTAAAATCTAAATAAAATTATTTTAAATCTTTTAATTCAACTTTATGAATTTGGGAGATTATAAGGGAGAATTATTAGTAGCCTGCATTTTTTTACCAAAACAACAATACTTAGAAACATAATTTCAAGTGACTCTCTTTTTTAAAGGGCACATCCAATTCACAACCACAATAGTACTCTTTAAACTTTTGTTTTATATAGGATAAAGGAGATAGTTTTTTTCCCCGGATTTTTTTTTTTTTCGATTGTGGTTTCTCTATTAGTTATTTGCGAATTTATGCCACGGAAACAATGGAGGAAAACTGTCTGAATTAAATACGTGTTAAGTTAGAAACACAAAGATAACGTTCTCATTTTTACTTTAAAAGTTTAAAAGTTACCTTAAAGTGAATCGGACATTTTATTCTCTAAATGAAAGGTCACTTAAAATGTCGTCGTCAGTCTTTTTAATTAACGACTTAATTTGTTCAGGAGAACATAAATCCAGCTCAGTGGAGAAGAATTTTACTTCTTATAGTCGCCATTACAGTGCATAATATACCAGAAGGTTTGTTGNCAAACTGACCGATAAATGATTTTAAAATGGTCAAAATAAATGGGTTATTATTCTTTACATCATCATATTGCATAATTCTTATACAATTTTTAATAATAGTTTTTTGATATTTTTTTTTAATGTTACTTTTACTTGCCTTTTAATGTCAAAAAGTAAATTATTCTTTGCAAGCTTGTCCGTGGGAAAATGTGAATTAGTTAAACCAAATAAATTGAAATGTTCACACACTCAACATAGTGTTTGTCATATTCTGTTTGGCGCTTGATTTCGATATCCTATGTGGACACTTGAATTTGAGGATATTACTAGATATGACCACTACCGGATATTGAAGCGGAGATTTACAACACGAAAGTTCTGACATAGCTTCTGTAAATATTTGAATTATCTAAGGTCTGGCTGTGGGGGTTGGGTTTGGAGCAATCGGCCGAACTAAATCTGCAACTTTTGAAAGGTATTTAACCTCGGCCAGCATTCATATTTTTATGTCTATACATTTTTTGTTTTGCTTAATGGGACTGTCGACTTAATAGAAATGACCTTTTTTAAAATAGTTATATGCTCAATTTACGCCAGGAACCTTTAAACCTTTTATTAAATAGGTATATGCTCAATACACGCCAGAAACCTTTAAACCTTTTATTAAATAGGTATATGTTCAATACACGCCAGGAACCTTTAAACCTTTTATTAAATAATAGTTATATGCTCAATACACGCCAGGAACCTTTAAACCTTTTATTAAATAGTTACATGATCAATTCACGTCAGGAACCTTTAAACCTTTCTCATTAAAATTTAGAGGTATAATAGACTAACTTAGGATCCCATCTTTGCCTGGAAATAATTTTTTTCCTACAAAAGTCGACCCGTACAGTTTATTCATTACCATTATAAAGATATTTTTATTTTCAACTATATTTTGGTATACACTGTACACTGTTCATTGTACTTCTCTACCATTATAAAGATATTTTTATGTTGAATATTTCAGATATATTCTGGTACATTGTACGTACTTCTCTATCATTATAAATACATATATATGATCAATATATAAGTTGTATTCTGGTGTACAGTGTACATTGTACTTCTCTACCATTATAAAGATATTTTTATGTTGAATATTTCAGATATATTCTGGTTCATTGTACGTACTTCTCTATCATTATAAATACATATATATGATCAATATATAAGTTGTATTCTGGTGTACACTGAACACTGTATACTGCATAGTGTACTTCTCGTCCTTTTAAAATAATAAATTTATTTATATAATGAATATTTCAGTGCCCGAAACCTTGCTATTGGAATTGGAATCCAAAACTTCCCTGAGGAAAACAATTATTTTATTTTGAAATAACAACTTTTTTCTAAAGGGACAAAGTTTACAATGGCCCTCCCTTCATTGACTGCCATGTCCGATTCACAACGGTACACTATATACCTTTGTGTGGTCAAGATAAGTGTTTAATTCTGTTAAGGTTTCTCTCAAGACAACTCACAGTCACAATTTATAATTTCAACACTTCATCTGAGACAAAGGTTCAAAGGGTACCGTTAAGAATCGGTTACGCCACTCGTAAACTGGAAGAGCTGGGAACTTTTGATTATCGTCGATTAAAGCTTGATCCACTTTTTTTCTTAAACTCGATTTTAAATATGCTTGTTCTCTTCATGTTATTATAATCTCCAGATTAATTAACCGATAGCGTTTAAAGATATCCCATTCTAAAGTTTTCACTTAAAATCACCTCGATAATTCCTTTAATCTCCTGTTCAACGAAATAACCAACCTTAAATTCCCTCCTTTTTTAATTCCAGGGAGGATAATTACTTATCCTCCCTCTTTACAGGGAGGATAATTACTTATCCTCCCTCTGTGATCCATACAGATTTAATTCAAGATCAAGATCAAGCAATTAAATATTCTTCCATATGCATTAGTAAGAAATAAGAGAATTAAAATCATAATTGATAGTTTTATTGATTTCATTATTATTTTATCCCCCACGGTTGGTTATTTCGTTGAACAGGAGATTAAACGATAAATTACTACTTAACCGGGAGTTTTCATGAGGATAATTAAATTGAGGGGAAAACCACTTAGCCGAGGGCCTCCAAGACCTTTTTGGGGTTCTAAACCTCACGAGCGTACCTCCCTTAATCTCCCGGTTAAGTATTAATTAATAGTTATAAATTAGTTTTCTTTTTTTAATACCAATTCGGGATTTGTAAACTAGGTATATTATTTTTTTCATCAGTAAAAGATATTTCTTTGAAAATTCCAATTAAAAAGCTAACTTTGAAATAATTGTTCTTTCAGGGCTTATCAGTTTCTTTACCTCTCAAGGCGGCTGGTTTCTCTAATGCCAGAGCAATATGGTAAAAAAAATATTATTTTATATTGATTTTACTCATGAATTTATCATTTTATAATAAGGCCAGAAAATAAATGATAATATTTTTTGATTTTAAGAAAATAAAAAATGGACAATTATTCAAAAAACTCATTGCTAAAAACTAATTATGTTTTCTTCACTATAAGGGGTTCTAACTTCCAGGTGCACCCCCCTTCCTTGAAACTGCAATCAAATCATTATATTAAAAAGTTGAAAGCAGAAAGCCATAACAAATATATTTTCTACAAGGTATGGTCAACTCTCAGGATTAGTAGAACCTGTAGCTGGAGTTTTAGGAGCTGCACTTGGTTAGTTATATTCCTATATTCATAACCTTAGAATTTAACTTTAAGACCAGTACTTGGTTAGTTATATTTATATATTCATAACCTTGGAATTCTACTTTAAGACCAGTGCTTGGTTAGTTAAATTCATATATTCATAACCTTGGAATTTAACTTTAAGACCAGTACTTGGTTATTTATATTCATATATTCTTAACCTTGAAATTTAACTTTAAGACCAGTACTTGGTTAGTTATAGTCATATATTCTTAACCTTGGAATTTAACTTTAAGACCAGTACTTGGTTAGTTATATTCATATATTCTTAACCTTGGAATTTAACTTTAAGACCAGTACTTGGTTAGTTATATTCATATATTCTTAACCTTAAGACCAGTACTTGGTTAGTTATATTCATATATGCATAAACTTAGAATTCAACTTTTGGAGCTGCACAAAAGATTAAACGTATGTAGATTCCAAAAAATATACACCAAAAGCCCCCATGGCCCGCATCTTTTTTTATCGCAGAAAAAAAGATATTTGGAGAAATATTTCTGGAGTAAACTTAGTTTCTTTGATTCAAGCAATACTTTTTTTAAAAAATGTTAAGATTAAAATAAATTATACAAATTTTCTAAATTTTATTTGAACTACAAAAATAGGTATCGCTTAAATTAAAGATTAAAAAAGATAAAATGAAATGAAATTTGATTTATTTCTCTAAATATCTTTCTTTTCATGTAAAAAATGTATAAAGTTTTATATACAAGTTTATAAGTCATAATTAGGCACTAATTATGATGATTGATTAATACTTCTCATTTTTGAGAAACCGCTTATGTCTATATATCGAAAAATGTGTAAAAATTAAACACAGGTACATTTTGATATATTGGGCATGGTCATTTATGCGTATCTGCATAGCGGAGGCTCATGGCGTTCAGGGGCTCCCTCCCTCGAGTAGCACTAAGTTTGTTTTCATTCCTCCCACAAACTGCATTATCACTTGTTAACAATTGTTAAATCTTCCTTTGCATTATACTGACTAGATTTTGATTTGATTTGTGTCTCTTCTAGTGACTGTGATAGTTCCTTTACTCCCCTACGCCTTGTCGTTTGCAGCTGGAGCCATGGTTTACGTAGTCGTAGATGATATCATACCAGAGGCACAGTCTCAGTAAGTAGTTGCTAATCTTAATATTCATGGTTTACGTAGTTGTAGATTATATCATACCAGAGGCACAGTCTCAGTAAGTAGTTGCTAATCTTAATATTCATGGTTTACGTAGTTGTAGATTATANTTATCAATTCATTTCCCTTTCATTCATTACTTACCAATCAATTTCCTTTTCATTCATTACTTACAATCTATTTCCCTTTGATTTTGTAGTTGTAGATTATATCATACCAGAGGCACAGTCTCAGTAAGTAGTTGCTAATCTTAATATGCACGTAGTTGGTATTTGTTGAGAATCGTCACTTAAAATTACGTCTGCAATCCCTTTCATTACATTTTTCATTATTTTTATACAATTAATGTATATGAACAAATATTGCATATATTTATTGCATAATTAAAAATTCTTAATATTTCACTTTTTACGTATTTCCATCCGCCTTTTAGGGTCCTTACTGAAAAAAATATGCATAGAATATTGTGTTTAGACTTACCATAGTTACATTTGCTTTTTTGATTTTAGAAAATTATTGCATAAAAACAAAGATTCCTTAAAGATTTATTTATCAAAGAATTAGGCAAGTTACCTTTTACACAAATCAGACATAAGATATTTGTTTTTCTTGTTGATTCTTTAATCAGCTGTTTCCCGATTGGTTTTAAATTGCCAAAATTTTGCAGGGTGACCCATAAATGGAGGGTGGTGAATTTAATACGTTTTTGACGCAAAATTTACTGGCCTCCATGCAGCAATTTTTTGTGATATACTTTATTAACATATATTTTGTAGGGGTAACGGTAAAGCTGCCAGCTGGGGTGTGATGGCTGGATTCATAATAATGATGTCGCTAGATGTCGCGCTTGGATAAAACGAATCCATGTTGTTATTTTTGTTATTTGATTTGGGTAAAATCTATTATATATCTGTTTTCTTACACTTGAGGGCATTGTGTGAAAATACTGTGATACATGTTTATTGTTTATAAACTGAACTACCTTGTCACAAATACGTAATCATTTTTTACTCGCGCATCTTCTTTACCTCCACATTGCACAGTGGGTATATGTTACCCAAAGTCACTTCTTCAGGGTATGTTTCCTTATAAATATAAAAACCCCAGAAGGGGAAAGAAAATATGAAACTCCTGTAAAATACATAATCAATGAAATCTTAAATACTTACAATGTGATTTAGGTCCAAAACTGCCTGCTAAATGTTTGTATGATTTAAAAGCATTTATAATTGTTAAATTTTGTAATGTACTTTTTCGGAACTTAACTAATCAAAATATTAAGATAAAAGTAAATTTCAGAAAAATGCGCAACTAGAAAATGGATGACAGCAACGATTTTGAGGATCCTTTCAGGTATTACTAGTCAGTAAACATTTTTCAAGCACTTTCTGATAGATATACTTTTCTTATGAACTTTGAGTGGAATGAGTGTTGTTTATTGTTCTGGTTCGTTTTTGGCATGTATTTTGTCAGACTCAAAATTTCGAATAGTATTAGAAAAACAGATGTTTTCAAAATTGTTTATTCTTATCATGTGTATTTTATATTCATTTCCCTTTTCATTCATTACTTACCAATACATTTCCCTTTTCATTCATTAATTACCAATTCATTGCCTTTTTCATTCATTACTTATCAATTCATTTCCCTTTCATTCATTACTTACCAATCAATTTCCTTTTCATTCATTACTTACAATCTATTTCCCTTTGATTTTGTACTAAACAATTAATTTCCCCGTTCATTCATTACTTACCAATCCATTTCCCTTATCATTCATTAATTACCAATCAATTTCCTTTTCATTCAGTACTTACCAATCCGTTTTCCTTTTCATTCATTACTTACAATCTATTTCCCTTTGATTTTGTACTAACCAATCCATTTCCCCTTTCATTCATACTAACCCATTTTACTTTGATTTATTACTTACCAACCATTTTCCCTTTTCATTCATTACAGTACTTATTAATTCATATCAATTAAATTTATTACTGTTCAATCCATATTCCTTGATTTATTACGTACCAACCCATTTTACTTTTCATTTATTACTTACCAAACTTTTCACTTTTCATTCATTACTTACCAATCCATTTCCCTTTTTATTCATTACATTACTTATTTATTAATTTCACTTAAATTTATTACTTTTCAATCCATTTTCTTTGATTAGTTACTTAAAAATTCATTTCACATTTCATTCATTACTTACCAATCCATTTTCATCATTTCTTACTAATCCATTTTACTTTGATTCATTACTGTACAATACATTTTCCTAGATTAATTACTTACCAATTCATTTCCCCTTTTATTTATTACTTAGCAATTCATTTCCTTTTTCATTCATTACTTACTAATCCATTTTACTTTGATTAATTTCTTACCAATCCATTTATCTTCTCATTCATTTCTTACCAATTCATTTCCTTTTCCATTCAATACTTACTTTTCCAATTTACTTAGATTAATTACTTTTCAATCCATATTCCTTGATTTATTACTTACCAATCCATTTCCATTCATTACTTACCAATCCATTTCCATTTTCATTCATTGTTTACTAATTCATTTCTGTTTGATTAATATTTCTCGTATACTTTCTCGATACTTTAAATCTCTTAATCAATTATCAATCTTTCTCTAATTGATCAATTTTGCCTTATAGAAAGGTTAACAAATCTCTAATGTTCATCCATCCAAGAATACTGCCTTGTTTAAGTCCTAAAAATGATGCTTGATTTGTATGTACTCTTTTTTAGTTATGTTCCTTTGAAACGGAAGAAAATCAAATCAAAGAGTTCAGTAATTCCACGAAACTCAAAACCAACACAGAAAAAAAATCCAAATCCCAAGAAATCCGCTAAAAAAACGCCGGTTCTCCAGAAGAACAACTTCACCTCTCAAAGCAGGCTAACCCAGACATCACCCATAAAACCTGTTACTAATCCTCGAACTCCAACTAAACAACTATCTATGGACTTATTTACAAACAAGAAAACTAAACCAGTCAGTTCCAATACAAAAGGTATTTTAAACGCACTTAAATACCATAATAAATACGAGTAATGCTGAATTTGTATTTATTTTACATACAAAGTAATTATCAAGGAATAGTTTAAGAGGACTTAACTGTAAGCATAATTTCAAGTGACCCTTCATGCAATGCCCGGTTCACGATGGTACCATTGTAATCCTTCATATCAATAATGTGGAAGATATCGTCGTTTGTCTATGTTTAAACTTGTTTAATTTTGATCATTCCGATTAGCTTCCTGAAGTAGAAAGACGCAAGTCGCTTCAGTAGAGAAACCACAATTAAAATAATCAAAATTATAAACATTGTTAATTAATCCATGCTTGATCAGACAAAGGTGCGATGGTATCGTTGTGAATTGGGCATTGTCATCTTTGCATGAAGGGTCACTTGAAAGTACGCTTACAGTTCCTTGATTTATATTAATTTCTGTTAGGTGGAGTAGGATTAAAAGTGTGTCCTATATGCCAGCTTCCACTTGATCTGTTAGCACCAGAAATGGGTTCTGAGGTACTTTTCAAAATTGAATATCATTCAACATTTTCAAAAATCAGCTAAATTTTTAAGGGAAAATAAATACATTTTTGGATATAAAGTATTAAGACGGATGAAAAAAACTTGCCTGATGTATAATTTTTATCCCCCCCCCCCACCACACATCATCAAAATTACACAGGGAGTGCAGTCGGTAGTTCTTAAAATTATATAACACTGCAGTTTTTTGTTTAGTTTTACAGAATCTTATGTTCAGGTTCACATTTCTTCATGTGTCGAGATATCCCGTGCCGGTGCTACGCCTTGTCCACAGGGTATCCTTTGTAGTTGTAGATCTATCTATCATTATGTACAGTACAGGTAGGATAAAATTCTGCAGTACAATGGATACTCTAGAGGGTTGTTAATCGTTGTGGTTCGTAAACTTTTCATTAAACTTCCAACATTTAAAAACTGTTTTCTTTTAAAGTTTTTTTTATTATTTTGCAATATTTTTATTCTAAGAGAAATTATTTGGCATGGGGCAAGAAAAGCAAACACGTTTATAAAAACAATTTTTAATTTTGTAAAAGTTCTCAGAATCTATGAAACATTTGAAAAAAACTAGTCAACTTATTATTACTAACTGTAAGCCCCAATCTTACATGACATTTCATATGGAAACATAAAAAATGTTCGAGTCTAGCGTTTTGTTCATGTTTTAGTCATGATGAATTGGCCCAACATCGAGATATGCACTTTTTAGAACTTCCTACAGTTATAATAGGTAAGTACGCGTTCTTCAGTTATAAGAGGTAAGTACGCTTCCTAAAGTTATAATAGGTAAGTTCGCTTCCTACAGTCATAATAGAAAAGTACGCTTCCTACAGTTATAATAGGTAAGTACGCTTCCTACAGTTATAATAGGTAAGTACGCTTCCTACAGTTATAAAAGGTAAGTACGCGTCCTACAGTTATAATAGGTAAGTACGCGTCCTACAGTTATAATAGGTAAGTACGCGTCCTACAGTTATAATAGGTAAGTACGCTTCCTACAGGCATAATAGGTAAGTTCGCTTCCTACAGGCATAATAGGTAAGTACGCTTATTATAGGTAATTACGCACCCTACAGTAAGTATGCTTCTACCCGTGCTTAGGATTCGGATCCTAAGCACTGGTAGGAAGCACTGCTGTTGCAGCAAACTGGAACAACAAAAAACTTTTTTAATCTCTAAACCCAAATCTGAACTATTGAAGAAAAAAAATTTAAAATTCGCTTTGTTAAAATTCAAAAAAAAATCATTAAATCTTAATAAATGACCTGGATCCGGATTTGTGTCCGGATCTGGATTCATTTTTTTCCAGTGCGGATCCGCATCAAATAAAATGGATCCTAAGCACTGCTTCCTTCAGTAACAAAAGTATACGCTTCCTACACTTTGTACACTTTTTAAGCAAATTCTCGTTTTCAGAATTTACTGGTTTTATCTTCTATTGGATAAAAACAAAACTGGGTCGTTTCTCGGGTTCCTTCTTTTTGCGACTTTTCGTTATGATTCTGTTCATTTATAGGCGTTGAACATATTGTTTATGAAATGATATTTAATAAGTCTAAGAAACATATACCCGGCCCTGACTCCTGAGTAAATAGAAACCGTATAGAAGCTTGAAGGATACAACATTTATTGATTGATAAATTATCAGATGCCAGCCATGCCAACCCTAAAGAAGGAGAGAGGAATTTAGTTTTGCAAATAACCAGAGATACTTCTAATCTGGACATCAGCAGGACACCAAGGAGAAGAACAGCTAAGGAGCAAGATAAGATCAGGACTGATTTAGAACAGATTGCTCCTCCTGTTTCTAATTCTACTCCTGCCAGACACAGAAGGGTGATCAGTCCTATTGAGGTGAGACATTTTCTGAAATTTAATTTCCCGTAATTTTTCTTACAACTTGTTCTAAACAAATTCAGCGATTTTATTGCAATTTTTTATTATTTTTAAAAAATATTGAAAATTGACCGAGTGATAAGAAAGAAGATGATTATTAGATGCATTATTTTTTTTCTTTAAAACAAAAAGTCGTTTTTTCTCCTTACTGTTTTACATAATTTTAATATTTTTAATTCTGTAAATTGATTGGTGATCGGGTTTTCAAATCGGTTCTCTTGATCATTATCCTTTTCATATCTATTTTTTACTTTAACTAAATACTTTTTTATTCACCCCTAGTAGGGAATTCTTCTATTAGATGATTTGATGTTGATATTCATTTTCCAGAAACGAAAATCTCAGGAATTAAGTATTGTTCCTGAAAGTGATCCTGGAGTTGATAATAGACTAGATAACTCCGAGGACATACTTCGTGGTGGAGAACCTCAAGATCATGTTTCTATGGATAAGTCAGGGCCTTCCTTATTGGGCAGTCAAACTGTTAACAGGTAAATGATAATGATAATATTGACAACGACAACGACAACGACAACGACAACGATGTGTTAGATAAATGAAAAAAATTTTGTGATGTTATTTTTTGGTTGATCCTGAATTGTGTACAAGTATTTATCTGACTTCAGGAGTCGGATAATTTAGATTTAAATACTAATATAAATAATAAATTTCACAATTTTATTCTTATAAAAAAATATTCTAAAAATATCTTTGCTGAGAGGTCAATGATGAAAGATAAAGTTTCACCTCTTATATATTTTGGATTGTTTGTCTATATGTGTCCAATAAATATCAAAAACGGCTGAACCGATCGGGCCCAAATTTTTGTGGCTACTCAAATGACCCCAGGGAAGGTGAGGTTTATTTTGCCCACCGGAAAGAAAATGGACATTTATTATTTTTGAAATTCGGATCGTAAACAAATCAATTTAATTCCAAACAAATCATTCAGATATTACAAACAGTAGTCATCGATTATTTTTCGACGCATTCGTATTTCATAATATTTAAAAAAAAAAATTTAATAATTTTCGCTGGCGCTGGATTTTTGAACATTCCTGGAAAAAATGTAAATGTCGTCTTCATCATAAAAAATCCTCGGAACTTGAATAAATGTTCCCAAAAGTAACGCTCAGATCATGAAAAATACAAAATATTATGAAATATCAACTATTTACGAATGCGTCAAAAAATAATCGATGACTATTGTTTGTAATATCTGAATGATTTGTTTGGAACTAAATTGATTTGTTTACGATCCGAGTTGAATGTTGCATCTTTCTGAATTTGTATGGACACTACGTTCTTCGGTGTGAGTCGTTTTTAACAATTTTCTCCTAATAGACGCAACAGATAGAAGTAAGGTTATTCGCGATCAAAAGCGCTTTTTTATCGCATTAAGTCTATACCCCCTTTCATTTTTCGCGAACACTCCCTTTAAAGAAAATGGTGGCTTAAAGAGCAAAGGTTAACAGTGAAGCGCCCTGTAAGCCTAATTTTATAAATGATGTTTATCTAGGTTTCTGAGAGGCCTGGAAAAGAGCAAAGGTTAACAGTGAAGCGCCCTGTAAGCCTAATTTTATAAATGATGTTTATCTAGGTTTCTGAGAGGCCTGGAAAAGTCGTCTACTGTTGAATCACTTTCCTTGCTTACCAGGTGACCACCAATTTCTAGAGACAAAAAGAAGTTTTTAAAAATAAATTTGTTTATTTCAGGTGTAAGAAACTAATGAGAGAGAGAAAAGATGAAATGGTATCCAGTGATAAATCTTCATTAAACTTATCCTTTCATGATGCAAGCTCTTATGATCCTATCCTTAACGAAATCATTAATGGTGCTATTGAAAATGTAGATCAAGCTGTGACTGAAGAAGAGGCGAATAATCCACAGACTGGAAGATCGGTCGAAAATCTGCCAGGTTCAAATACCAGAAATCCACTAAATAATTCTCATATGTCAACCACCACTCCTCATCGACCCCAACCCCCCCAGGTGCGGAACAGATCCGGAAGTTCAAACATAAGATACTCGGAAACAGAAGTCTTGTGCACGGAAAGCCCATTTGAGGTAAAGAATCGAATATGAAAAATTTTGTTGGATTAAGAATAGTTTTGATAATGTTTTCCTAAGATAAGAGCTGTGAAGGATAGTGAAGAATTGGAACTCTCCTTGGATCTGAATACTAAAGTAAACTGTAAACATCTCAAGGTTGGATCCATTTGTAAATTATATAATTTACCGCCCCTTGACCAACATTACCGACCTATGATTCCCCCCAACAGGTTAGGTAACTTAACGTCCCTTGGCACAGTTATGTAAAATAACCGGCTGCTCTGGATGTTTTGTAGACAAAATTGGTCTTGGAAACCCTTGGTAAAGTAAATTCCCATAACTTCCCTTTAAATTAGTTGTAAATAATTAATACCGCCTTTTGAACAACATTACCAACCTATTATTTCCCTAGCATAGAAAAGTTACTTTACGTCCCTTGGGACTATTAAGTGTTCGTGAAAAAAATAACCAAACCATTGGTTCCCTCGGCCGATTTTCCCACAAAAATTAGTCTTGGGAACCCTTTATGAAGTAAAGTCTCTTAACTTCCTTGTAAGTATTTATAAAAATATATTAAACCAGTTTTATAAAATAAATTATGATGTACTAGCTGGTTATACCGCTGAGAGGTGACCGTGTCCCTGTAGAGGTGACTGCTAAGTATTCAAACCGAACCTCCCCCGCTAAGCAGGCCAAGATAACCTCATACTTCAACATGAATAAAAACAAACCAGACTTCGATAATTCTCAATAGTCCTCAAGGGAAGAAACCCCGGTTAGAAAACGTAGTGGCGGAGTGGGCCAAAGTGATGACGAAAAAACTGGTCCAAGATACAAGGGTCCAACAAACTGTTGCTAAAACTTTGTTTGGTTCTAAGTGGGAAGAGGGTCGGGGAGAAGAAACAAAGAGGAAAGTTCCATTCTACAAAAAGATTCCAGGGATGTCATTTTTAACTTTTATTTCACCATCATTTTCAATTTTTTTAAGTTACTTCATAAACTATTCTAAATGGCTACTTTCATGAAATAATTTTTAAAATGGCGTCATCAAGGCACAAGATTCTCTGTGGATGGATTTAACTATGGGTCAATACCTGGAGTTAAATATTCCTTCCTATCCCACTACCATTACGATCACTATCAAGGATTGACCCGGCACTGGAGCGGACAGATCGTCTGTTCCAGCCTCACCAAGCGGATGGTCGTCAAGTTTCTCCGAGTACAGGTTAAAGATATTCTTAGTTTCAAGGAGAAGGGAGTTTTTGTTTTCTGTTTTCAAATATAATCAATAATCTTGCAATTATTAAAGTATTTTATTAACGCTATTAATTGTTGTGTAATATAAAAAATTATATTTTGTGACGGGGGGGGGGGGGTAATTAGTTTATCAAGGTTTAAAGTAAATAATCTATTTGAATTTTAGGATACACTTGTATTAACCCTAGATCCCGGGGAGAGTAGAATCTTTGATGGAGTCGAGGTTAACCATTCTATTCTTATTATTGTTATTGTCGTTGTAGTCGTTGCAATTATTATTGTTACCTTCTGTTGTTTAATCTTTAATGGCTTTTGTTAATTTCATTAATGTTTTGATTATTGTTCTTGATATTGTGATTTAACTTTGGATGTCTTCTGTTATAAATTAGTTAGGCCGTTAAACCGTCAACAATGTTTGGAGGTTTTAGAACCGAACTCAGTCAATTTTTGAAATCAAAAATTCCAATGGATTTAATCTTTTTTGACAGTTACAAAGAAAATGATCAGAGCAGATGGTGGTCCGATCTAAAAGTTTCTCTGAACTTCTCGCCGGTCTGCATTATGCTAATATCCAAACTTGGTCTTTTTTGGGATTCTCTACTTCTGATGATGCAAATCAATCTTACATTTTTGCCAAATCAATAGGCATAGCTTTATATGTTCGTTTTTATTCCAGGAAATGAAAGTTTAATGATACTTAATACATTACAAGCTAGGAGTTCTCAATTCATTCTGGATTTGATCAGAAGTCTGATTAAAAAGAATCGTTATTGTTATTGTTATTGTTATTGTTATTGTTATTGTTATTGTTATTGTTATTGTTATTGTTATTGTTATTGTTATCGTTATCGTTATCGTTATCGTTATCGTTATCGTTATCGTTATCGTTATCGTTATCGTTTTCGTTTTCGTTATCGTTATCGTTATCGTTATCGTTATCGTTATCGTTATCGTTATCGTTATCATTATCAAAAATCGTTATCGTTATCGTTTTCGTTATCGTTATCGTTTTCGTTATCGTTATCGTTATCGTTATCGTTATCGTTATCGTTATTGCTATCGTTATGGTTATCGTTATCGTTATCGTTATCGTTATTGTTTTATTAGGTGACAAGTGTTGATGCAAACCATTGTCCTGGATCTCTGATGTTTGTATTTAGATTAACAACAGGTTATTATTATCATCATTCTCATTTTCATTATTATTTTTAATTTGATAATCATGATTATTAGGATTATAATCTATATAAAAAGCTCGTCGCTCATATATATGTATATTTGTATGTTGTTTATTTGTATTTCAGCTATAGCTGGCCAAACGGCTGGACCGAATGGGCTGACATTTTTTCAGGGAACCCTTGAGTACCCTTGGGGGAACAAAGGCTGAAAAAAAAAAAATATTCCATGAGCAACGCTGGGCACTTTAGCTAGTTAATAATATTATCATTATTTTGATTATAATTACTGTAATAGTGATGATAATATTTGTTAGGTTCTACCATTCTTCATACTGGCGACTTCAGAGCATCACCCGACATGGAGTCAGATCCAGTATTCTGGAATCATAGGTAAACATAGAGATGTAGTATTCTGGAACCATAGGTAAACATAGAGATGTAGTATTCTGGAACCATTGGTAAACATAGACATGTAGTATTCTGGAACCATAGGTAAACATAGAGATATAGTATTCTGGAACCTTAGAAAAACATAGAGATTTAGTATTCTGGAACCAAAGGTAAACATAGATTGTAGTATTCTGGAACCATAGGTAAACAATAAACATAGAGATATAGTATTCTGGAACTATTGGTAAACATTAAACATAGAGATGTAGTATTCTGGAACCAAAGGTACACAATAAACATAGAGATATAGTATTCTGAAACCTTAGATAGACATAGATTGTAGTATTCTGGACCTATTGGTAAACAATAATCATTTAAGATGTAGTATCCTGGAACCATAGGTAAACATAGATTGTTGTATTCTGGAACTTACTCCGTAAATGGATGTTAGTTAACTGTTCAGAAATATAGACACTAGACATTAAAGTAAAAGTATTTTGTACCTGGATACAACATACTGTAATTATATATATATGTTTAGAAATATAGACACCGTGTACCTGGATACAACATACTGTAATTATATATATATGTTTAGAAATATAGACACCGTGTACCTGGATACAGCATACTGTAATTATATATATACGTTTAGAAATATAGACACCGTGTACCTAGATACAACATACTGTAATTATCTTTATGTTTAGAAATATAGACACCGTGTACCTGGATACAACATACTGTAATTATCTTATGTTTAGAAATATAGACTACGTGTACCTGGATACAACATATTGTAATTATATATATATATTTAGAAATATAGACATCGTGTACCTGGATACAACATGCTGTAATTATATATCTATATGTTTAGAAATATAGACACCGTGTACCTGGATACAACATACTGTAAACCTGAATATGATTTTCCTCCTCAGCATCTTGTTATAGAGCACTCTATTCTTCAGGTTCATAATTGTGTTAAAATAAAATTTTAAAAAATGAAATCAAATGAAATCAAATATAAACATTTATATATAAAACAAGCTGATTTGTATGCTTATAAACATCGTTATCGGATAAATTGGATATGTTTTTTTTCAAATTGAACTTTTATTCTTAATTTTCGACTTTTTGCGCAGATAAATAGCATTTTCGATATCCAAGATGATGGATGTTTCAATTGCATGGAATTAAATGATTTTAAAGAAATTTTTACTTATTTCAAAATACTTAAATTACCTCATTTTCGAGATAAGGAATACTTACACAAATTAGTCTAATTTTCCACTCAATGATGTTCCTAACGCCCATAATAATTGTACTTTTAGCGGAAATTTCATCCTTATTTCGTAAATAGAATTTTATGAAAAAATTTTAGACCATGGTTCAGTTTGTTTCTTATACATTTTTCTTGAGTTTCATAAAACAATTCTGTAATTAAATTTTGATTTGTCAATGGAAATTGAGTATGTTAATCCGCCCTGTTAACTGGATTCCGTCCTGTGAATGAAATTCGAATCAAGCTCGTCATTAATTCTTTACTACAATTTTTACAAAAGAAAAATCTCACAAATTGATCTGTACTTTAAAACTTTATGAAAATCGAGAGATTTTGGCCGGTTAACCAATACCTCAGAAATACTGTATCTCATGTTTCGGATTCATTGGACAGGGTCAATTTCTTAAACGTTTTATCTAAGATTGAAGATGTGATGAGTAAGTACAATACAGTGGCTGTTCTGGTTGGAGCTTACACAATAGGGAAGGAGAGAATATTTAAAGGTAGCTAAGGCGGTTTCAGGGGGGGGGGAGTCCATTCCCCCCCCCTGGATTTTGCAAAGTTATTTCCTAACCAGGTGCATCCAATTTCGGAAACCAGTGTTTAAAATGCTTTTATTTCAAGCGGCATTAGAAAACTCTAAAAATAAACGTAGAAACTACTTGCAGTTTCCTGCAAGATAAATTAGCATGATTTAAGAAGCATTATTTACTTAAAGATCAATAATAATAGCAGGAAATAGGAAATAATTCTCTCTTCGTTAGAATAATATGATATGATATGTACAATGTTAATGTATAAATTTCAATCCATAATATCTTTTTGATATCGTTTTAAGATAGATGAATGAATTATTAACCTGTAATTAAAGATAAAAGACACTGTAATTTTAGTTGGATGGGGGGGGGGNTGTCCTAACAGGATCCTGAGATCAATATAGTACCCTGGGTGTATCTCGAATATCCTGAACTATTCACTGTTCTACCAGGATCTGAGATCAATATAGTACCTGGGTGTATCTTGTTTATCCTGAACTATTCACTGTTCTAACAGGATCCTGAGATCAATATAGTACCCTGGGTGTATCTCGTTTATCCTAAACTATTCACTGTTTTAACAGGATCCTGAGATCAACAGAAGGATTGTGAAAGATCGGTTGAAAGCTGTTGTCCATGTAATCCCTCAGAAGAGTCTGGATTGGAAGGGATTAGAGATTCAGCTGCAGGAACTTAAGTTACACTTCGATCACGTGCTTGGGGTCAAACCTCTGAGATCAATATAGTACCCAGGGTGTATACTTTATGAAAATCGAGAGATTTTGGTCGGTTAACCAATACCTCAGAAATACTGTATCTCATGTTCCGGATTAACTGGACAGGGTCAATTTCTTAAACGTTTTATCTAAGATTGAAGATGTGATGAGTAAGTACAATACAGTGGCTGTTCTGGTTGGAGCTTACACAATAAAAAGATACAGGTTCAAAGATACAGGTTCAAGGTTACAGGTACAGGTAATATTTGCAGGTACTAGGTTCAGAATATTTAAATTCTTAATTTAGGTTTAGACCCTGAATGTAGTTTAGCTAAAATAAAAGCTAAGACACGAGGACGGATTAGTTTATTAGAGGTTCCATACTCCGAGCACTCCAGCTACTCAGAACTCAAGTAGGTTTATTTAGTTTATTAGAGGTTCCTTACTCCGAGCACTCCAGTTATTCAGAGCTCAAGTAGGTTTATTTAGTTATTAGAGGTACCTTACTCCAAGTACTCCAGCAACTCAGAGCTCAAGTAGGTTTATTTAGTTGATTAGAGGTTCCATACTCCGAGCACTCCAGCTACTCAGAACTCAAGTAGGTTTATTTAGTTATTAGAGGTTTCTTACTGCGAGCATTCCAGTTATTCAGAGCTCAAGTAGGTTTATTTAGTTTATTAGAGGTTCCTTACTCCGAGTACTACACCTACTCAGAGCTCAAGTAGGTTTATTTAGTCTATTAGAGGTTCCTTACTCCGAGTAGTCCAGCAACTCAGAACTCCAGTAGGTTTTTTTAGTTATTAGAGGTTCCTTACTCCGAGTACTCCAATTACTAAGAGCTGCTTTTACTTAAACCATTTATTCCTTCGTTTTTTTTTGCCTTTTAATACTTTGAGTATCATTGCAATACAATTTGTAAAACGAGAATATCTGTACCATTGGAATTTTGACTTTTAACATCAACATTGTGTTTGATTTTTGATTTGTGTTTTATTTTAGTCAGGTTGATCGGACTTGGTTTAGATTAGATCCAGTCAGGTTGGGTTGGATTGTAATGATCGGATCAGGTTTATTGAAGTTGGATTGTGATGGCTTTGATTTAGAGCGGAGTGGGTCGTTAGACTGTGCTGGACTTTTATCTAAATTAAGTTAATCAAGTTTTAATTCAGTTATTAAACATCGTATACCTTTTGGGAGTCTATTCTTTCATGCCATTAGTGTTTTGATGATTACATTTAAGCATTTAAGGATCGATGTGCATTAAACTTTTATCTAAATTTTTATTTGTTTGCAAGTATTTATTAAGCACTTAAATGTTTACAGTGCAGTAAATACTTATTTTTAGCCTTTCAAACAAAATCTGTTTTTATTCCTTTACTTAAATTTAAAACATTTAAAATTTGTAATTTTTAGAAGATTTATCCAGTTTCTTCGGATAAAATCAACACGACAGATAATACCTACAGTAAACCTTCGAGATAGGTCAGTATTTCAACATTTTAAGGTTTCGCAAATTAAGGATTTAAGCGAATTTACTTTTTTTACATTAAATGATAAGTCATCATCTATCTACATAATAAAGGTCTTCTCTCATACAAATAAATGGTAGCTATAGCTGTGCCAAACGGCTGGACCGAATGGGCTGACATTTTTTTAAGGAACCCATGGGTACCCTGGGGGTAACAAAGGCTTAAAAGATTTTTAAAAATTCATTTTTTTCATAATTCCACGGGCAACGCCGGTCAGTTTAGCTAGTAAGTACCTATGATATAAATTTAGCTTGTCTGTCTGGGTGTTCGTTTGTTCGTTTGTCTGGTTGTGTATTTTATTTTTGTAATTTTTTTTTAGATCTTGAAATCTGCGAATTTGTTTTTAAATGCGCGAAATTTATTTCTTTTTAGATTTTCAATGTTTGCAATGAAAACATGTTCACAATTGAAATAAAAGATGGGCACGCAGCGCCCTTAAAAGCCTAGTATATGTATATTTGCTTGGTTCAATAGATTAACATTAACAACAGGGCAGTTTTCTTCTACCAAAGTCATTAACTAATTTACTTAGATTGGTAGTAAGAATTTGGAATTGGTCATTGGTGGTCTGGCAATAGCGTCGGATGTCCGCTGTATTGAAGTAAAGAAAGTCCAAATTGAAAGGAAAAAGTCCGTGGAAATTTGTTTTTAAAATGCAAAAGTCAGAAATGCTATTAACTAAATTAAACCGCATCCATTGCAAAAAATTTCAAATTGTAAACCCACATTCCCTTTGAGAATTAGTTTCGTGAATTAGTCATTACAAGATTGTTTATGTGGTGGTAGGGCGTCCCTTAGAGTTTAATTTGATTTGATGAACCTATTGGGAAAACAAAAATGTTTATTTACAAAATCAATAAAATTAAATAGTATTTTTTTCAATAAACTCGTAGTAAAAAGCACAGTTTAAAGTTTTACTTTTATGAAGTAAAAACATCAGGTTTTGTGTTCTTTTTTCTTAAAGCAGATTTTATATGTTCAGTTGTCTAACCTATTTTATATACAAGGTGTCCCACGAAACATGACAGTTGGTGAATAATTTAGAATGTCTTCTTTTATAATTTTTGAAGTCGTTTGATACCAAAGAAAATAATAAAAATATTTTAAGGAAGTTATATTTTGTAATAAAATTAATTTCATAGTAAAATATGTTTGAGGAAAAGATTATTTAACGAAATAATCTGCAAACAGTCTTTATTATTTAATACAATGCATAGAAGAAAACATTCAAAACTATTTACCAACTGTCATGTTTCGTGGGACACCCTGTAGAATATTCAACAAAGTAGCAGATTTTCGGAAACAAAAATCCTGATCATGGTAAAAAATTATTTTTTTAGGGGCAGGATGAATGGGTTTTTCGAGGATTGGATTAAAGAGGCGTCAATGCGGCCCAGCAGTCTTAAAGGATCTTCTTAGACCACAGTTATTCTTATCTCAATTTCTATTAATGATCAAACATTCAAGCTTTAATTACAAAAAGACTGAAAATTACCGATACTTCTCTCACAGAAGTAAAATATTATGGTAAGGGAAGCCTTGTAGAGTTAACAGCGTACACTGCATGTACTGTATTACAGTGTACATATAAATACTGTTGTAACCTTACTTATTTGTAATAACAGCTGTAACAATTCAAATATATATTTAATTTTATTTTTGATATTCCTGTGGTACGTTATAAAATATTTTTTACTTATTAATAAAAAAAGCTTTTTTGAGCAATTTTAAGTCAAATTATTAAATTAGAAAAATGTTTCATTGACGCGGCATTCATTGAGGAAATGTTATGTAAGTATAAGAAGCAAGGGGCCCCAGTTTTCAGCCACACGTTCTCTATGATGTCAGTTATCTCAGAAAATCTGTTTGTTTGAAGAATCAAAAAATGATAAATTTTCTACAAAATTCAGACAAACTCTAAATCTAAAATAAGAATTGATTTTAAACAAACTTCTGTCTAATGTTGTTTTCTGTGATGGTATGTTAGTAATCACAGTTGAATTTTTATTTTACATAGACCATTTTAAAATAAGAAATTCGCAACGTCACTATTGCTGAAGAAAAATAAACAAAATCATCATTGATCAGACAAAATCTTGTAAATCGGGCATTGTCATCTTTGCATGGAGGGTCACATGAAATTACACCTTTTATAATATCAATAAATAAATAAATAGATAGATAAAAGATCAATCATCAGTCCGTGGAAGTCCAAGTTGAGACCCCTTCATTAGGAGAAATACTCTAGATGAGAAGAGACACCGGAGGCCGAATTTAAAGAATTTAAATTGCTGATTCGTCAAAAAACCGGTTTCAATTGAGCGCCGGCTAAATCTCGAAACACTTAATACAATTTCTTTAAATTCAGTCTCAACTCTAATTTACTTCACCAAGACTGAAATAACCAATTCTCAGCCTGGAAAGACCTTGTACTACAGTCGTCGTCGTCGTCGTCGTATGTATCAATACAAGGAAACTAATAATGTATTTTAAATTCTACCAGCATGAATACACATAACCTTGGAAACCAAAACAAAACTGTCGATTAACAATCTTCTCTTTGTTTACTTGTAAATTTGTAATTTGAAAAATGCTTGTTAGAAATTAAAACTTAAATAGAAAAGTCGTTTTCATTGTATTGATATAAAGGCCGACCACTGTATTTAAGAAAGTTAAAATAAAATTAATGATAATATTAAATAGCAATGATGTCACGCAATCTTGTTTAATTGTCAATTTTGTTAGAAGCTGACAACTTAATAACACAAAATAATGAATTATAATTAAACTTACCCGGTAAGATACAGTCTTATCCACAAAGAATGAACATTTAAAATTGTTCACAACAAACATTCCTGGCTCAATATGTCTAACGCAGCTATATCTAATGTATGAAGCAAACCATTATATTTTAATCTTAGGGTTTTTGATCCAACAGAATTCATTGTTTGACATATCTGAGGTATACGATATTTGGATGGTGTATTTTTCGACCTACGCAAATCCGTTATACTCCAATTCTGACCTACGCCAAATCCGCTATTCTACACATCCGACCTACTAGCACGTGGTTTTAAAGCTGCTATAAGGACTTGTGGCCCGGCCCTCTAGCCTGTCCTAGCCGCAGCGCTCGGTCCAGATTGTCTTAACCTAACCCCCAAATAATGCAAAAATAAACAGATTGCGTAGGTCCGATATTGCAGTAGGTCGGAAGTTCAGTAGAGAGAATGTTGCGTATAGACGATGTAACGTTACCGATATTTGGATTAAATATAGGGATTATGAATTTAGTTTGTGGCAATAACTCAATTCCTGTGTGAAACTATATATATTCGTGCTGGGTGATAACAAATGATAATTGAAGGGGAGGATTGTGTAAGGTGGATTATGGAATGATAGGGAAGATAAAGAATGGAACGACACATGAGAGTATACGTTTTACCTATGAATAACCATGGAACGGAACAAAGTATTGTGGAGAGAAAGGCACAGAGCTGCAATGTGGAACAAAGGCCAAAAAAGAGATTCGAAAGAATATTAAGGGGTTGAGCGGGCTGTATTAGATATAAATTGGATTAATAATAAAACTTACGATAAATTCAAATGGTTTGTAAAGATAGGTTGGCTGTATATGGTAGAGGGTGTGTTGGGATAATAAGAAGAGGGGAAGGGGGAGGGGAGAATCTTAATCAATCTTTTCTGTCAATTTTCTTACTTTCTTACTTTCTTACAATCGTTAATCTTTTGTTCCTGGTAAACATTTAAAAAAAATACAGGGCTGATATTTATAAGTGCTCCTAATTTTTTGCATTCTTCAAGAGAACATCAAAATAATAAATGTTTCTTCAGATTAAGAAATCTAATGCAGAATAAAAACTTATAACTTGCTTCAACAGTTCTTTATTTTTTACCACTGCAGAATCTAATGCACAGCTAAAAATGAAGGGTGGGATTATAGATAATTACCCCACCTCCCTTGGGGATTCTTTCAACTTTTAAAACTGAGGAACCATATTTTTTACAAATCTCTCCCAACAAAATCTTACAGTTGCACACCTAGGCACATTGCACATAATGCAATAATACTTGAATATTTGTAATATCAGTTTGATTGCAGGAAATCAAGGTGTTTAATGAGAACGTATGATTGTTAACACTAAATCGACATTATACACTATACAGGGTTACTCACAGCGTGAAACTGAAAGCAGACTAAATAGTAAGCTTTCAGTGTTTAATCTTACATTAATAATCCCCCCAGCTTTGTAAATTTTTCCCTTATTTTCCATTTTATTTAATTTACTTTGAAAATTCCAAATATAAGAGATGATATGTTTAATTCTTTAGCTGAACCAAATAGAACAAACTCATATAAACTTGAACGGGTTCTCTTTAAAACTCTAGAATGTTTTCCCTCTTTATTTCCAAAAATATGGAATTCGATTGAATTAGAGTTGAAAGAAACTAAATCTGCAAAATCGTTTAAAAGAAAAGTCGCCAAGATCTCTTTAGATAGTTATGCAAACTATATCTGTAAAAAAAAAACTGTGTATCATGTGGATAAACTTAGTCTTTACTATCTTCATCACCCTGTAGTTCATAAACATGATTCTAATAACTTATGTTACCCTCTGCTCCAACCCTTACGCTGAGTATCCTCCCTTTACCTTATACTCCCTCACCTCCTCCTTATCATTTTCCTGATTTATCATCATTCTTATGTTTAAAATGTACAATGTACATTGTTTTTATCTGCAATTCTCATTCGTTTATAGTGGGCCAACCAATTAAAACAACCTACCCTGGTTAGGCGGGTCCAAACTACATAGTAAATTGTGATTTTTTATTTGTATTATCTTGTGCTTTGTAGTTGAATTAAATATGAAATATGAAATATGAACCATGGATTAATTATTAAATTATTATATTTCAATAGTTTTATGTCGTCCTTAAACCATGGATTAATTATTAAATTATTATATTTCAATAGTTTTATGTCGTCCTTAAAGTCTCATCTTTCGTGGGTTAGCCTGTAGGTGAAATTATGCACATACCTATCAAAAGTTGCCACCCCCACCTCCAGTTTTGATACGCATTATACAGGGCTACCCACAAAGGATAGGGCTTCAAACACGGTTGTACGAAATTTATACAGTTTTTATCTTATATTTATGGATGTTCCCTGCAATTGTAACCTTGAGTGACTTGAGTACTTATTTATTTGATAAATTTATAAATAAGTCATTAAACGACTTTACTTCAGACAGAAGACTGAATTTAACCTGGGAATCATCATAATTAAAGAGTTTCAGGTCATCTTCGAAGTCTCATTCTGTTCAGTAACTCTTTAGTTTAGTTTAAACCATGGGGAACTATTTATAGATTTTAGAAATATATTCTTGTAATTGTAGGAAAAGTGCTGGTCCAGGGACAGAATATGAGTGTGGGTCAAGGAACCTAGAAAGAGTGCTGGTCCAGGGTCCTTAGAGGAGTGTTGGTCCAGGGACAGAGAAGAAGTGGGGGTCCAGGGACATAGTAGGAGTCCTGGTCCAGGAACTGGCAAGAAGTGGGGGTCCAGGAACCTAGGAGCAGTGCTGTTCCAGAGACCGAGAAGGAGTGTGGGTCCAGGAACCTAAGATGAGTGCTGGTCCAAGGACTAGGGTGGAGTGCTGGTCCAGGGTCCTAAGAGGAGTCCTGGTCCAGGGACCGAGAAGAAGTTGGGGTCCAGGGGCCTAGTAGGAGTGCTAATCCTGGGACCAAAGATGAGTGCTGGTCCAGGGACCGAAGAGGAGTGCTGGTCCANATCCCCCATCCTTTTTTCGCCCCCCCTCCCCCAACAGAAATAGTTGAAATGGTTTTCATTGCACAAAGAGGTATTATGATGAATTTATATAAGAAAAAAAAAGCGTGAGAAATAAATGGTTTTTATAAGAGAAAATAATTAAATATTTGATGTCCTATATTTTAATTTTTCCCCTTTATAGTGAAAAGAGATGGGTGAAGCGCTGAAAGGGTTACAAGATGCAGGACGCGAGGTGCTTTGTCTTTAAATGCCCAATTTCATGCCAAGCAGTAATAATTGTAAATCCAGACTAAAAACTGGTTTTAGGATCCCCTTTAACCCCTCAAAACTTTAGATTAAGAACCCTTAAAACTGAGGCCAGGTTCACGAATCATATTCATTTTTACCTCTTCTACAATAACCATATTGACCCCTGTACTGCCAAACTTATTGGTTGTATTAGAATCTGTCAATATAGCTGGTAACTTAACGTGAAGGGGAGGGGAGGGGAGGGGAGATTATCTATCTTAAAAACTTTTCTGTCTGTCAGTTGCACGGTTTGTTTGTTTCCGTTAAACGTCAAAACGGCTAAATTTGTTCTGGATCCGACATTGCCCTTTTGAGACAATATTTTTTTTAATTTTCGACAAGTGTAAATAATAGTTGCACTTAGCAGAGAAAAAAAGAGAGAATGGGCGAGGAGGAGGGAACGGGAACGATGGTGCAGTCGGGAGGTAATGAGAAAGGTTGGCTGAATTTTGAAGCACCGAAGCCTATTTAAACATATTTTTCTATCAGATATAATTTATGAACATATTTAAGAGAAGAATGGAAAAGTCGAGGTATGGGAGGAGTTTAAATCATTTATTATCCA